CCCCGTACCATCGCCCTCCCGCCGTCGTCGCCGCCGCCCCACTTCCGCCACCCTGGACGCCGGGCCGGCTCCAGCCCCCCTGCCGCCGGCACTCATCCCGCTCCCCCGCCGCTACCAGCCGCATCTCTCTAGCGGCGGCGGCGGGGGCTGGGTTGCGCCCTCACTTCTTCCACGGGTTGCCCTTTGGCGCGGGCGCAGGCGCGGGCCTGCGGAAGCCAAACTCGTGCGCGTCGTCCTCCTCGATGTCTCCGTAGCGCCACATGCCAACGTGCCCCTTCTTGGCGGCCGCCTCGTGCTCGCGCAGCGCGGCGACGAGCGGCTCGGCGCGGCGCGCCACCCCCTTCTCGACGCGCGCGAGGCCGGCGGCGACCAGCTTCTCGTTGACGCACGACTGCGCCGCGTCGAAGAGCGTCACGAGCAAGACGCCCGACGCGCGGTCCTCGACGCGCGCGACGACTGTCTTTCCCCACGCGGCGTCTCCGAGGAGGAGGGCGGCCTCTTCGCCGTCCTCGCTGCTCGGCTCGTCGACGATGAGGTGGGCGAGCCGGCACTCGACCGCCTGCGCCGAGAGGACGGACGGCGCGAGCGTCGGGTCGAGCGGCCGCACCTGCAGGACACGTCCGGGACGCGTCACGGACGACCGCATGTCGCGGGGCGGGGAGGGCGCCGGGCCGCCACCCGCTCGGCGGAGACGACGTCGCAGTTGCCGTAGTCGAGGAAGAAGACGGTGTACGAGCCTACCGTGCGTCGCATATCACGTCACCCCGCGCCGCAGCTGCCGCGGTCGAGCAGCGGGGCGGGGAGGCGGCCCTTGTCGCGCTTGGTCACCTTTGCGCGGTACCACTCGTTGTCCTGCGAGAAGCGCGCCGCGCAGACCGCGCCCACCTTTGGCTCGAAGGCCATCGCGGGCGGCGGGCCGGCGCACGCGGACGCCAGCTTGGCGTGCAGCCGCGCGACGGTGTCGTCGCCCGCCACGTGCGCGTAAAAGTGGGCGCCGTCGGCTATCTCGGTGAGTGTGAGCTCGACGCGCTGCTTCTGCGCGTCGGGGATCGGCTCCATCTCCGACGCGGCGGCCGCCGCGTTCGCCGCCGCCTCCTCGGCGGCCGCCTCCTCGGAGTAGTCCTCCCAAACCTTGAGGCCGGCAGCCTTGGCCACGCCCTCCGACTTGGCGAGGTCCGCCGCGTGGACGGAGCGGTCGGCCGCCGCGCCGAAGCGGCTGGCGAGCCCCGCCTCGAGCAGCACGAGCGAGAGGTTGCGCTTGTCGGGCAGGATGAGCGTGCCGTTGAAGACGCCTAAGGGGGCGGCGCCGAGACGGCTCAGAGGGAGGGCGCGTGCCACGCGGGAGGAGGACTGCCGCGCGGGTTGCCCGTCTTGTCGTTGACGGACTCGATCTCAACCTCGACCTCGCGCTGCAGGCAGAATCCGCGCGTCGCGGCGAGCGCCTCGTCGCCGAAAGGCTCGCCTGTGGCGTGTGCCGTGGACGTGTCGCGGACGTGTCACGAGCGAGCCTCGCCGCACGCACAGTCTTCTCGCCCGAGGAGGGCGAGTCGCGGCGCGCGCAGGCGGGGCAGCGGACGCCCACCAGCGCGAGGGTGACGAGGCAGTGGTCCTTGAGGAGGAGGACCTGCCGGGGCGCGGGGCCGCGGTGAGAGGGGGGGGGGGGGGGGGAGATGACGGGGCCACGCCTCTGCGGCCGGTGGCGGTGCGGCGGCCTTGAGGCGCGAGCCGGAGAGGACGTACTGCACGACGCCGCGCAGCTTCCCTCCGCGCGTGAAGTTGGAGAGGAATGACTTTGCGCGCTCTTTGGAGGCGGGGAGCGAGAGGTCCGTCACCGCCGCCCCCTTCTTGGGCGGCGCTCCCGAGTGCATCCCCTTCTTCGCGGCGATGGCGTCCGCCTACCCGCTCCATCGGCGCCTCAACGAGTGAACCCCACACCCAGTGCCTCCTCGCGGCATCGAGTGCTCCTCGGCGTCGCAGAGAGCGTCGTAGTGCGCGGACCGCTCCTCGGCGCCGCCGTGCTTTGAGACGGAGGCGAGGCCTTCGGCGACGAGCACCTGCCGGGAGGGGCGAGAGGATTGATGTATGTAGATTGAGTCCTGCGAATGAGTCATCGAGAGGCTGTCGGAGGCGTCTGGGAGGGCGACAGCATGTGTGTGACCTGGGAGGGCGAGACCGACACACAGACACACAGACGCGATGCGGGGGCGTGCTGGCCGGCGGGGCGGGCGGCGGGGGTATGCGGGTGGCGGGGGTATGCGGGTGGCGGGGGTATGCGGGCGGCGGGGGTAGGACGACGCGCCTCGGCGGCGTTGCGGTCCGCTTTGTCGAAGAGGACGGCGGCGAAGAGCCGCTCCTGCACTCCTCCCCCCTGCCCCTCGAAGGAGCGGTGGTACTCTGGTGTGACGCGGACCTTCTTGCCGATGAGGAGCCTGCTCACAGCCAAGGGCGAGCTGCACCGCCTCTCGAACGCGCCTGGCGCACCCTCTCGCAGAGCACGCGCCTGCGGAGCGCCTCCTTTGCCTCTGCGGCGTACGGCTCCGGCTCGCGCCCCATGCGCGGGCAGCGGATCGACGAGAGCGAGTAGCGAGTCTCGTTGTTCGCCGCGTCGGCCACGACGAGCGTGTCGCCAGACACGACCTCGACCACCCGCCCGAGCAGCTCGCTCGCCGCCTGCGCAGCGGTGTGGGGTGGGCAGAGTCGCGGGTGGCGGCCAGTCGAGAGAGAGCGCGCGAGCCGCTCCTCCGACTCGAAACAGACACAGCTCTCCGCCCCTCTCCGCCCCTCTCCGCCCCTCTGCACCCCTCTGCACCCCTCTGCACTCCTCGCTGTGCGCTCCTCTCTGTGCGCTCGCCTGCGGAGGGACGTACTCGCGCCACAGCCGGAGCCGGCCAGCCTTCGCCTGCCGCTCCGCCTCGCGAAGCTCCTGCTCCTCACCAGTCACGCGTCAACTCCACGCGTCACCGCAGCTCCTCTGCGCCCCCTCCGCCGCCCGGCGTCGGCGCCTTGGGGTTGTCGGACAGCTGGGAGGACCAGTCGGCCACGCGGGCGAGGCCGACGCGGAGGAGCTCGAGCGAGATGTTGCCTACAGTACGCCTCCGGCGCGCGTCGAGGGGCGGGGGGGCGGGGGGCTGTGCGGTGCCAGGCCCGGGAGACGGCTCTGCCCTGCTCGTGCAGCACTGTGCCGAGCAGCGTGCCTGGTGACGAGGGACGCGAGTCATCCCTCGCTCCCGCGAATCATTCACTGCACACCGCGAGCAGGCTGCCGTTCTTGTCGACGCCCTGCAGCGCAATCTGGACCGAGCGGTGCAGCAGCCGCGACTCGACGAAGAAGCGCGCCTGTCCAGCAGCTGGGACGTGGTGGAGCGAGGGAGGCGGCTCGTGAGTGCAGCCGCGACTCAGCGGCGACGGCGCGCCTCCCGCGCGAAGGGCGCCGCCTCCTCAACCCCGTCCTCGCCGCGCTTGAGGGGCGGGCACTGCGTGCCACACAGCGAGAGCGTCACCTGCTCGAAGCCAATCAGAAATCACAAACTCAGAAATCATCACAAATATGAAAAAGACCCGTGGACCTGCTCGAAGCCGGGGAGGAGCAGGGCGCGGAGGAAGGAGCCCGACGGCACGTGCTCGATGATCGCCTCCTGCGGCTGCCGCCCGAACGCCGCGACGAGGCCGGCCGCGTCGAAGCTGCCAGCCCACTTGATGGAGCGGACGCTCGACGCGGCCGACGCCTCGTTCCACACGCCGCGCCCCTCCTCCTTGCTTGCCGCCTCGATCGGCGCGAGCACCTCGTCCTGCAGCGCCACGCCCTTGAGCCGCGCCCAGCCCGCCGCGACGATGTGCTGCTGCAGGGGCAGCCCCTCGAAGTAGACGGTCCCAAACTCACGAGGAGGGCCGCCCGTCGGCCCGCCCGGCACGGTCGACGCGGGGGCCTCGATGACGAAGGTGACGGGCTTGCCGATGACGAGCCGGCGCAGGAAATCCCGGGACGCCCACGCCCACGGGCTGTCGTCGGTCGAGCGGTTGGCGAGCCGGGGCGCCGTGATGCCCGTAAGGGAGATTAGCTTCTCGGGCGGCGGGCCGCGGCTCGAGTCGGCGCCCATCACGAGGACGGTGTCGCCCGAGGGGACAGCCTTGACGATCGCGGGCAGCGCCCTCGCGGCGGCGGTGCTGGTGCCGTTCGCCTCCACCATTGATTTAGTTGAGAGAGTTCGGAGGCGCCTTTGCGAGAGAGGCTCGAGAGAGGTGTGCTGTCGCTGTCGCTAAAAGAGAAAAGGGGGCGGTTTCTTGCTTTATGCCTGTACATTCCTGGGACCCTGTCCTTTCTCCCACCCCTTGTTTGGTGTGTCCGTTTTATTTATTTATTTATTGTACATTCCTCTTGGGTATGTTCCTCTGGGGTTCCCCCTTGAGGGGTCGCCGGAGGCGACGCTTCCTCCCTTGCGGCTAGGTGTGTTGAAGGAGTGCAAGCGAGAAGAGAGAAGGGACACACAAAACCAGGACGCCGCCGACCGCCGAGCCTGACGTCCCGGCGGCCACGGCGCGGATGTGGCCAGATCCAAATCGACCCGGGTTCGCTCTCTGCACTCTGGTGCATGTCCTTCAGCATCACACCGTACCACAACGTCGACGGGAGCTACGTGGATGACTTGCTCCGCATGGACATGTGCGAGAACATCCTCCTCGAACTCCGAAGCGGAGGCGACCATGGCATGTACGTGTACCCTAAGTTTCTCCGAGACCTCGCGAGCGGGCACGGTTATTCACACCTCGGCAGTGTGGTTTGGGCAGGGCATGGCAGTGTGGGTTTCACACCCGGGGCAGGTAGGGGATCGGGCAGGGCAGTTGTGCGGCAGTGTGCGGGCAGGGCAGTACGGCAGGGCATGGCAGTACGGCAGGGCATGGCAGGGCAGTTGGGGTCATAATTGCAGGGCTGAGATTCGGGATCTCAGGTGGTGAAAAAAAAGGGGGAGACAATTGCTGTGAACATGGAATTTGAATAACAATCTCAATGAGATGTGTGAAGAGGACGGCCGATCGACGAAACACACGCGCGAGCTGGCGAGCTCATCTGCATCTCAACCGAATCTCAGGGGGGCGCCGTGTGTATAACGGTTGCGTGATACTGCAGTTACCTAGAGCGGCCGCACTCTGCTCGCTACCCCCCCTCCGCCTGCACAACTAAGCTCATCCCTGCTGCTAGGGGGGGGGTTTGCCCCCCCCAGCAGCAGAGCGCTCCTGCTGGGGGGGGGGGTCCCGACCCCCCCAGCAGCAGAGCGCTCCTGCTGGGGGGGGGGGGTCCCGACCCCCCCAGCAGCAGAGCGCACTGGACCCAGCTCTCCCGCCTCCTCGCCGCCGCCCCCCCCTCTCCGCCCTCGGTTCGTGTTTAAGCGGTACTCGTACGCTCGAGGCGGTTGTGTTCGCCGCGCCTTCGAGCCCAATACACCTCGCGAGAAAGCGCTGCGCGGTACTCGGCAGTGTCGCAGTGTCGAGCAACACTCGGTGTCAGAGCGTCGCGCCTCCATCAGTAGTCTCATCATCGAGTGATTGCTGGCCTGTGGCGTATGACCTCGCGCGGATATCACCAACGACGAGCATGCGAAGATAGGGAACAATATCTTGTACAGCCCGCTGTGCTCCCCGCTGTGCCACGGCGTACGATGGGCTGCGAGAGCCGTATCTTCCCTCCTTGAGGCAGAGGAGCCGCGAGGCACGAGAGGCGTAGAAGAGAGGCTGGCGTGCCCCGCACCTCCCGGTTGGCAGTAGGAGGGCCCGCCGGTGAGACCACTGATTTTGATGCCGACTATAAATTCTCGCCACTGGAACGCATGCTACTTACAGCTGCTGTCTGTACAGAGATGCCAGCACCCCCCACAGGCAGAGCGCTCCTGCTGGGGGGGGGTCCGGACCCCCCCAGCAGCAGAGCGCTGCTGCTTGGGGGGGGTCCCGACCCCCCCAGCAGCAGAGCGCTGCTGCTGGGGGGGGGGGTCGGCCATGAGCTTAGTTGTGCAGGGGGGGTAGCGAGCAGAGTGCGGCCGCTCCTACGCCAACGACTGTACACCATTGGACGGCCGAAGCGGACTTCGTCTTCTCGGTACCCCCGAGGTCAGGGTCGATACTTGAATCTAGAATTTTACAACAAAGCTCCCTCGCACAACACTGGGCAGCCACGTGGCGGCACGGGACTGGCGCGCACTGGCACTAACACAGGTACATCTAGAAAACCATCCTCTTGGCGGAGTCCTAGCCCATTCGGCCGGAATTGCACATAATTCCACTCCCCTTCCCTAATTGGCCCATAACCTGCATTACGGTTTACGCATGTCAGTGCGCCAATAAAGTTCACCTGCACCAGGAAACCTCTCATCGTATATGAAGTCCTCTCATCGCGCATTGCGCGACGTTCTTCTCTGTTTCTGCGATCTCGTAAAAATCTCATTTGTCTATCATACACAGTCAGCATCAGGGTTAGGGCTATAATCAGAACTTACGTACGTCCCATTCCCATCTGTGGGGGCTCGGATTAGGGTTACACACTCTCAGGACAAGACTTGTCCGAGGGTCACGACACTGGACGCGTCCGGACGCGTCCCGGACACACCCCTGTCTGAGACGTGTCCAGGACAGGACCGTGCCCGGGCCTGACCTGTCCGGTCGTACGCATATACCTCTTGGTTTTTCGAGGGTTTTTTTGTATTGTGTGTGTGTGTGTGTGTGTGTGTGTGTGTGTGTGTGTGTGTGTGTGTGTGTGTGTGTGTGTGTGTGTGTGTGTGTGTGTGTGTGTGTGTTGTGTGGTTTGTTTGTGCGAGGGCAGGGCGGGGCAGGGCAGGGCGGCGGCGAGCGGCGAGCGGCGTCGGCGAGATCGGCGACGAAGAGAGGCGATGGTGACGTACACGGCGGGAGTGTTCACGGCAGGCGGCCCCGCGCAGCGGCGGCGGCGCCCTGTGTGAGGCAGACTGCCCTGCACAGCCTGCTGGGAACGCTCCCGACGAGCGGCGCGCCATGCGGGCCCGCCGCGGGCGACGCGGGCGGCGAGCCGACACGCGTGTCGCAGGCGTAGGCAGCGCTGGCGAAGCGAGGCGGCCGGCGCCGGCCCCGGAGGCGGCTGCAGTAAGAGCAGCGAGGCAGAAGTCTCTGTCCAAGGCGTACTGAGCATGCTGCCATCGAGCAGCGCGCCATGCGGGCCTGCCGCCGGCGACGCGATTGGAGAGCCGACAGGCATCGAAAAGGTAGGTGCTGACTGCTGAGGAGGGCCATCGCGCCCAAGGCGGTCCGCGCCGGCCCTGCAGGCCGTCACAGAGAGCCTGGCGAAGCTGTACAGAATGACAAGAGCATACTGAGCAGGCTGCCGTCGAGCGACGAGCCATGCTGGCTCGTCGCGGGCGATGAGGTCGAGGAGCCGATCGGAGCGTCGCAGAGGCTGCCGACCACTGTCGTTCGCCCTCGGGCCCAGGGGTGGAAGGCAAGCTTCCTGGCTTCCTGGCGAGTGTCCAGACGTCGCAGAGCATCCGGCAGGCGCGCTGCGACCCAAATTTTTGCTCACCGCACGGCCGTGCGAGCCGTCGGTCGGTGGTGATGGTCGACGTCGGCGCGCGCCGACCAACGCGGCTGCGGTGGGCGTCATGTGGCGGGCGTGGGACCAGACATTGTGCGAATTTCGGACGTCCCTCGTCTCCCAGTGGGGTGTAGAAGAAAGATGGCAACACAAGCCTGAGGCAAATCGACCCCCTATATACCTTATCTAGATAGAGGCGTGAGAGAGCCGTCCGCCGTCTGCGCCAGCCCGTGCTTGCGACGAGCTCAGCCTCACGACAGGAAGGACCGTGGGAACAAGGCATCTCGAGGAGAGGGGCATTCACTACTTTTGCCCCCGAATGAAAAGAAAAATCGCGCGCGTGCCGCAGACATCAAGAGTCTCGGACATCTGCTTTTTGACGCGCTCTAACCTCCCAGGGCCCCGACTGCAAGCAGCGCCACGCTGACCGCTACACCAGGTCACTCTGCTGCGCGGGCGATGGCGGCCATGGTCCGCTGCACAGCTGATGCGCGCTGCGCCCACAACCCCACGGTCACGACTCGGCACCACCAAGACCACCGATCGCAAGACCACCGCCGATCGCGCGACGAAATGGGGCGCCAGCTACGGAGATAGCCCGCAGGCGGTGCGCGCGGTGGAGCTCTTCCTCAAGCAGGCGCCGCCAGCTGCGGCGGTCTTCGTTCACGACTTCCTCTCCGCGCGACGCGGCACCCTCGACGAGTTTCTGCTCACCAACCTTCGTCGTTCGGACGCGCCCGGCGAGGAGGAGGGCGTCTTCGTGAGAGCGTGGCAGGCCTTCGCACGCGGCGCGACGAAGAGGGCGCGCAGCAACGCGGCCGAGCGCGCGTGGACGCAGTGGCGCGCCTTCGGCGGCGAGGACGATCGTGCGCTGCCGCTGCACGCGATGCCGGCGGGCGAGGACGGCCATGCCAGCTGTGTCGATAGGACCGGCGTGGTCCGAATCGATGGCTGCCTCTCCGCCGCGTCGGCAGAGGGCTTGCGCGACTTTGTGCTCGCGACGCGCGACGAAGGCGTCGCCCTCGCGGCCAAGGACAAGGAGAAGGGAGCGGAGCGGCTCTCGCGCGTGCTCTCGGCGCGTGACGTGGACAGCGAGGCCGAGAGTCGGTGGGACGTGCGACTGCCGTGGTCGACGGTTGTGCGTGACGCGGTGCACGAGATGATGGGCGCGCGTGACGACCCCGCCTCGCTCGGCCACGCCCTGTCCGTTCTCAGCGGCGGAGACAGCGCCCTGCTCTTCGAATGCGCCGCAGTCATCTCGACCGAGGGTTGCGCACCGCAGATCGTGCATGCGGACACGGTGCCGTCCGAGGCGGGGGCGGTGCTGCACACGGCGTTTGTGGCGCTGCAGGACATCTCGGCGCATCAGGGCCCGACGCGCTTCCTGCCACACACGCACAACTGCTTGCGGTTGCACGGCGAGCTCGAGCGCGAGCACGAGCGCGGCACGCCAGAGTCGGACTTGCTCGAGGGGGCCCCGTCGGTCGTGGCGCTGCTGCGTTCGGGGGACTGCACGCTGTACGACAGCCGCACGCTCCACTGCGGCGGGCCACACGTCGCGCCGCCGGACCGCACGTCGCTGCCCGAGGAGCCCGTGGAGCGCGTCCTCTTTTACGTCTCGTTCAAGCATGCGCTGGCCACGGAGGCCGAGCTGGCCAACACCGACGTCCACGGCGCGGGGTCCATCCTGCCTGCGGTCGCGGCGATGCGGATGTGCCTCGGCTCCGTGCGAAGCCGTGAGGTGTAGCCAGGTGTGACGTCCCCGGACCCGACGGCTGCTGTCCCGGCTCCCGCGCGTGAGCGCCGTGACTGGGCCGAGACCTCTGAGCTCTGTAGAGCCTCTACAGGTCTGTTCGTCTCCCACCGTATCCTCGGCCGTCGGCGCCGCCGACCGCCGTGTGTCGTGCGTCTGTCGGGGGTGGGCACTCTCAGCCTCAGCGTGTGCGCGGTGTGTGTCTGTGTCCGTGTGTGTTGCACATGCACTCGCGACTCGGCCTTAGCATAACATGTACATGTGCGTGTGCATGCACGCTACCGGGAGCGCGGGACCCTCCCACAGAGACTCTCTCTTCTTTTTAGTCTTTCTTCTTGCAATTGTTGAGACTTTCTCTTTCGATGATTTTTTTCTCTTGTCCATACGAAATAAATAAATATATTTTTGGGTGTGTATACATCTGTATGTGCAGCCTGGCGTGTGGGTGTGCTCTGCTGCCTACTGCCTCTCTCAATATCTCGCTGCATCTCACGCCCAACGCGCTCTCTTTTCATTATCACATTCACACCGCGGTTCGAGGCGCGGGCACTGGGCATCGCGGCACTCGCACTGGCCCCTGCGGGCGGCGGCGGCCACGCCCCGCCGCGCCCTGTCATGCTCACGGCGCGAAAGCGCGGATCCGCTCGATGGCGTCAGCGTCGTGCTTTGGCGTGGCGCCGGGCATGCTCGCGACGAAGGCGCCTGTGGGGCGCGTCGAGGACGCGTCGGGGACAGGCGCGTGTCTTAGGGCGCGGCGGGCTCGCGGCGGAAGGCGCCGATGGCGCACGCGCGGGCGAGCGCGTCGGTGGCGTCGAGCTCGTGCCGCACCCCGGGGGAGGCTGGCTCGTCGGGGAGGAGAGAGAGGATGAGCGAGGCGAGGAAGGAGTCGCCCGCGCCGATCGTGTCGCGCGCGTCCACCGCCGCTGCGAAGCCGCTGTGCTGCGACCACTCCCCCTCGCCCTCGCGGCCAGCCACCCACAGCGCCGCGCCCTTTGCGCCGCGCGTGACGCAGACGGCCGCCGCGCCGGTCGCCGTGGCGAGCTGCGCCGCAGAGGCGCGCTCGGCGGCGTCGTCGCCGACGGCACCCGCCTCGAGACCCTGCGGGAGAGGGGGGGCGTGTGTGTGGAGGGAGGGGCGTGGAGAGTGGCCACGCCGCGGGCAGGGATGCAGCGCGGGGTATGCTGCGTGGTGTGGGGGGCGGCTCTCGCGCACCAGCATGCGGGCGAGCTCCGGCAGCTCGTCGTCGTTGAGCTTGATGAGCCATGCGCCTGGCAGGGAGGCAGAAACGAAGGCCCGTTGCTGTGCGGCCAGGGAGCCCTCCGAGGCTGCTGGTGTCCCGAGGCGGCTGGTGTCCCGAGGCGGCCGGGCGGGGCAACCGTGCGCCTCACCTGCGGCGGCGGAGGCGATGGCCGGCTCGTCCACGTGCGGCGGCCGCAGGTTGACGTCGAAGACGCGCCGCTTCGCCGCGCCGACCACCGAGACGAGCGTGCTGCGCGTCACCGGCGCGCGCAGCGCGAGGGAGCCGTGCACCACGCACCGCGCGGCGGCGACCGCAGAGAGGAGGGCCTGGCGGCAGGGGTGAATGGTGACATGGTCTCCGCCGCGCCTCGACGCAGCGCCGCGACGGGCACAGGCGCGCCGGCTCCGCCGCGAGCACGTCCCACGCGGCTGGCTCGTTGAAGGTGTACGTGGCGTCACCATTCGGCGCAATCTCGCACAGCACGAAGCCCGTCTCGCACCCGCCGGGGCCGTCGCCCGCGCCGCCGCCACCGCCCGAGCGCGGCGGTGTCGTCTCGGATTGGAGGAGCGACACCCCGACGCCGTAGGACGAGAGCCGGCGCCGCGCTTCGCGGCCGAGCAAGTCGTCGCCGACGCGAGAGGCAAACTCGACCTTTGCTCCGAGCTGGGAGAGGTGGACCGCGACGTTGCCGGGCGCGCCGCCGAGGAAGATGCCGGCCGGCGTCGAGTCGAAGAGCGTCTCGCCCAGGCACACGACGAAACCTGACATTTGTAAGCCTGAATGCAAACTGGGTTCCAACTTTTTGCGGGGTAAGGTTACAACTCCGACAGGGGTGGGGGTATGGTCCCTCGTGCACGGCCGCCCCTCCCTCTACTGCCGCCGCCGAGCGCTGCCCGCGACCGACTCTGTGCCGGCGCACTTCAAGCTGCTCTCCGGCGGCACGCGCAAGGTGCTCGACGAGCCCTCTCACTCAGCACTCACAGTCAGGGCTGCCCCGGGGGCATCATCGCGGACGAGCCCGAGGAGCACTCCCTCGTCGCCGAGTTCGGGATGTACTACAAGTAGACTTCTACAAGTGGTTTGCGCTAGGGTTTGCGCCGCTGGCGTCGGGCGGCGCGGCGGCCACCGGAGCCGCCCGCCCACACTACAGAAGGTGCTCACACCTCAACACCTTGGGTGCAAGTCCCTCTGACCCTACCCCCGGTGCCGGTGTGGGCGCTGGCCGGCACACTTAGGTAGAGGTACAGTAAGGTACAGACATGGGCCACTTACCTAAGGTGGAGGTATAGGACACCGCGCGCTACCTCGGTAAAGGTACGGGTGAGGTGTGGGCGCCTCGCCGGACACACGCTCGCCCCCTCCCGACGGCCCCGCCTGACACGCTACTCACTCATGCAGCATATGGCGTGTTCTGGAGAACACCGGCGCGCTGGAACAGCGACATATGTCGACGCCACCGAGCGGGTCGGCGGAGGGTGGGTCGGCGGCGTGGCCGGAGGTCGACGGGCCGGCTGAGCCCGAGGATGGCGCAGCCGAAGCGGCAGCATCGGAGCTCGATGGGTCCGGCGAGGTGGAGGGCGGTGCAGCCGAGGGGGCGGAGACGTTGCCGTGCTTCAGCATGTAGCGCGCGGTGATCGCCTCCTCTGGACCCGCTGTGCCTGTTGACACATCGGATTCTACGCCGCCGGTGGAGGGCGGGCGGGGCAGCTGCCCCCGCTCGCCGCTCGATCCTGGACGTGCCCATGTCGTGACTGCCGGAGGTAATTCGCCCGAGCTCGTCTCGGGCGTGGCCGGCATTCCGTTCTCTTCTTTTGGTGAGGCCACGGGATCTGCGGCGGGCGAGGCGGCCGACGAGGCGGAAGAGGAGGAGGAGGAGGAGGAGGAGGAGGAGGAGGAGGAGCAGGTGTGCGATGGGTCGGTCGAGTCGTACTTGGCGTCTGAGGCGCGGTGGTATGCGCTTCGGAGGAAGGAGGAGGCTCGAGAGGGGGCGGCGCGTGCGGCTTTGGCGAGGGTGCTGGCGGAGGAGGAGAAGCGTCTGTCGTCGAGGCGTGCATGGTGGAGTGGGACAGGAGGGGCTTCGGGACTAGTCGCGGCGAGGATGGAGCGGCGGCGTGGCGGCGCTCGGTCTACTCGGCTTTCGGGCGGCTCTCGGTCGCGGCGCGGGGCGCCATGGTCGAGGTGCTCGTGGCGGGGAGTACAACTGCTCCTACATCTGCGGCCGGGAGTGGTGTCGACGGCAAGGGGAGCGGCACAGGTGGCGGGTGGAGGTTTGGTGGCCCGGGCGCGGGTCGCTGGTGGTGATGGGGGAGGGCATCGCTGGGGAGGTGGAGGGGTGGCGGGAGCAGGTGAGGGCTGGGAAGCGTCTGCTGCTCACCGAGGACCTGCTGGCTCTGCTGCGCGGTGCTGGCTGGGGGGGCGGGAAGCCCCGTCAGGGACGCCAGCGGGGGGCGCGGCGGGAGCGGAAGCGGTGGGAGTTGGATGAGGGGGATGATGGTTGTTTGTCTCGCTCGGCGAGCACTACGGTGCTGGCGGATTCGATCATCCGCCTTGGGACGATTTCCTCTATGGCGAGGACGACGGCTTCTAAGGAAGCCGTCGTCTGCGCCTTGTTAGTGCCAGCGCGCGCCAGTCCCGTGCCCAGTGTCGTGCCACCGCCTTGATGTTCTTGGAGCACTTGGAGTGCAGTTATTAACCTCACATCCAGGGCCGAGGAGCTGAGAAGCGCACCCAGCGGGCCGGATGATCGGTGTCGGGTTGCGGGCAAGAGAGCCCTAGCCCCGGGGGTGCGCGTTCGCAGGGAAAGGGCCTTAAAGTAAACACGGGTCCCCGAGGGTTAGCTCTGCGCTCCGGGTTTCCCCTAGCAGCGGAACGCCCCCTCTACTCGGGGGCTAGTAGACACCAGGCACTAGCACGACAACACACCCCGATTTTGAAAATTCTCTTCCTTCGTGTTGAGTCCCCTGAAGCAAGAGGGTATGACTCTGACCTGTTCCGACCCTGATCCGACCTCTCTCGAACACCGACCTGATCCGACCGTGTTCACTTCGAACACGGTCGGATCAGGGTCGGACCAGAGTCGGAACAAGGTCGGGAAAATCCCTCCCTCCCGCCGCCGCTGACCCCTGTTCCGACCGGTCGGATCAGGTCGGAACACGGTCGGAACAGAGTCGGAGTTCACAGGCCGAGCTCCAAGAGGGTATGACTCTGACCTGTTCCGACCCTGATCCGACCTCTCTCGAACACCGACCTGATCCGACCGTGTTCACTTCGAACACGGTCGGATCAGGGTCGGACCAGAGTCGGAACAAGGTCGGGAAAAAGGGCCGTACGTGGGGCAGCTCATCTGTTCCGACCCTGATCCAACCCTGTTCCGACCGTGTTCGAACGCTGCCGAACACGGTCGGATCAGGGTCGGACCAGAGTCGGAACAAGGTCGGGAAAAAGGGCCGTACGTGGGGCAGCTCATCTGTTCCGACCCTGATCCGACCCTGCCTGTTCCCGACCCTGTTCAAACCTAACAGGGTCGGATCAGGTCGGTGTTCACATAAGGTCGGATCAGGGTCGGATCAGGGTCGGAACAGGTCAGAGTGGAACCCTCCTTGAAGCTCCGCTGCATGCTGCTGCGGTGCGCCAACGTCGGCTCTCTTCTCCTCGCCTCGAACGCCCTTCGCAACGTGGCCAAGATGAGCGCAGCAGCCTTCGAGGTCGACCCCGAGTATCCGGGCACGGCCATTGGCAGGCGCCCCGCTGCGCGTGCATTGGTGCTATGTTGCGGCATCCACATCGCCTTGTGCACCGGATAGGATGCGGGCCAGCGTGGAGCGCGCCAAATCTCTCACCGCCGACGAGCTGTCGGTGGAGTGGGAGGACGCACGCAAGAGGCACCTGTGGGCCGCAGGTGCGACTTCTCGAAGCCTGGCTGAGCGTTCTCGGCGCCTCGCCCGCAGGCTTCTGTGGGCCGCTGGGCTGCGCGACCTCACAGACGTGCCGCCCGGCCAGGGCTACACTGGCCACGCCTTCAACGACTACAACCATTGCGACGCGACTTGCATGCTCGGCGACGTGGCGCACAACCTGAACGACGGGCAAGACCGTGTCGCCGGCATCGCCGTCAACAACCGGCTCGGGCCCGGCATCGAGCGGGCGTCGCTGCCTGAGCTCGGCGTCGGAGGCTCCTGGTCGACGTGCACCAACGGCTGCAACCGCGAGCCGCCCAGGGACGTGGCGCATGTGCAGTTCCGCAGCCGCGTCGCCTTCAAGGCGCGTGCGCCGCGCCGCTTTCCTATCTCTGCCTCGCACTCATCCTCCCGCCGATCCCGCCAAATCCACCGCCGCAGCTCGTGTGGTGCCCGCCCACCTTCGCAAGCTTTGTGCTCGTCGACGACGCCGGCGGGCTCCTCTGCTCGGGCACTCCGCGCGGCGCCCTTCCCGCGCTGCGCGAGAGACAGGCGAACTTTGACGTCGTGCGGGGCTCAAAGTATGAGCGCGAGGCGATCCGGGTGGGCGCGGGGGCAGCGGGGGCAGCGGGGGCGGCCGAGTAGTAGAGGGCGCGAGCAGCGCGGCGAAGCCAACCCGGTCACCGAGACATATCGTACCTTAAAGGTACATTGGTTGGTTAGACGTAACCGAGTGGCTGTGCGGCATAATGGTATGCGCGGCGGTGATATCCCGCACATGATATATAACGACCTCTCGTCGATAGGTTTCCTGATTCGTGATTCGGTCTGCCCTCTGCCCTCACGTCCCTGATTCTCTCTCGTGCCGGTTTTCGGCGAGCTGCCCGCGCTCTCGCCGCGGGGCAGTTTGACTCTCTCGCTCGCTCCGCGGCCGAGAGAGCGGAAGAGAGAGGTGCGAGGAGGACGGCGCGGCCTGCCGAGATGAGTCACAGTGCCCCTTGTACCCTTACTAGAGATCAAAACAACAACACAGCTTTTTGCTAGACGCTACACACTCGAAGAGACGCCAACGCGAGCCAGACAGGGGGCGGTGCGCGCGCCACAGATGCGCAATCTCGAGCGCTGCGGGAGCCGGGAGGGTCCTCCCCAGCGCCTAGGAGGTGTACGGGAACGCGCCGCCCGTGAGGGCAGACTGGGTCACCACGCCGGAAAATGCAAACATCGCGAGCCGGCAGTGCGAGATCTCCTTCTCGAGCATGGATTCGAGCTTCTCGGGCGTGCTGCACAGGTTGAAGGGGTCGAGGTAAAAGTCGCCCGGGCGGCGGTCCGTCTCGCCCGACATCATCTCGGCGATGGCGTTGTACGAGATCGCCTGCGCGCCCGGGGAGGGCGGACCGTCCTCTCGCAGATGCAGGGCCCCGGGCTGCAAGGCCCCCCACAGGCTGCAAGGCGGGCAGGCTGGGCGGCGCGAGGCGTGGAGGCGGCAGTCCGCGGCGGTGAGGGGCGGCGAGCGCCTCGATGGCGCCGACGGCGAGGAGCAGGCCGAGCATCGGCCCCGCCTTGACGGCCGCGTCGTGCGCAGCGAGCGACGAGACGTGCGGCGCAAAGGGGACGTAGAAGCCGTTGTCGACAGCGACGTACCCAACCTAGGAGGGGGGAGGGGAGAGGGTGGCGCGCGGGGATCTGTCCGTGAAGCCCCCTCCGCCCGAGGCCCTTCCCCATCGACGCCGCCCGACCGCGCCCTTCTCCGCCGCCCTCCCCCGACGCCCATCTACGGAGCCGCACCCAAGCGAGCATGCAGACGCGCCCGTGCTTCAGCTCGGCCTCACGCATCCACTTGATGTCGAAGGAGCCGGAGAGGTTGAGCGGGTCGAACCCCTTGTCGCCAGCCATGCTGCCGTCGAGGGGAGCAGGCGCATCCATGAAGGGCAGAGCCTGCGACTTCACGCCCATCGCCGGCGCCGGCGACCGCCCAGCGCGCACAGCCGGCAGGCCGGCGTTGAGGGAGAGGCTGTTGACCGTGAGAGAGAGCATGTCTGTGGAGGGGCGGAGCGGCGTCGGGGTATAGCGGGGAGAGCGGGAGTGCGGCGAGGAGCCGATGCGCGCCTGCAGCTCGCTTGCAAAATGAGACGCAGAAAAAATGAATGATGAGCTCTCCCGATCCCGCATCCTGCCCTTCTGGGCGACGGCTAGCGCATCACACCCTCCTCTCCTTAAAATCCCTGTGTGGTGGCGGCGTGCCGTTCTCCCATCCCTCCCTTGGGTTGTGTGTTTTCTTTCTTTCTTTCTTTTTCCTGCCCTTCTCCCACCCCTCGTTTGGCGTGCCCGTTTTATTTATTTATTTATTTATTCCTGCCCGAAGAGAGATAGGAAGAGGCAGACTCCCTAGGGTGGGCGACGGCTAGCGCATCACACACCTCTCCTTAAAATCCCTGTGTGGTGGCGGCGTGCCGTCCATCCCTCCCTTGGGTTGTCTGTTTTCTTTCTTTCTTTCTTCCTGCCCGCTGGGTGCGGCCCTGGATGTGAGGCTGATGACTGCACTCCAAGTGCTCCAAGTGCTTCCTCCCATCCCTCCCTCCTTTTTATTTGTTTCTTTCCACACCATGACATGATGCACAGCAACAACAGGGCGCGGGCCGCGGGGCCGACCGCCGCTCCTGGGTGTTGGGCGTCGCACGCCGGTCCTGTGCGCCCGGTCTTTCTCTTGCTTTGGACGGGGGGGGGCCACCGTGCACCGAGCGCGGGGGGCGGCGGGGCGGGGAGAAGAACGAGGATGAGTGAGTCCCATTCCACAGCAGGCCCCTCGAGAGCAGGGGCCGCTGCCACGGCGCTGCGCGCTGGAAGGCGGGAAAAGTACCTCGCTGTAGCCCCCGCGCTCCCGCCAAAAAATGACCCCGCCCCGCTATCCCGCCCCTGTCCGACCTGTGCGGTCGACCCCGCCCCCGCTCCGGCCGTGACCGTCCCCCGGCACCTCGACCCTCTCCCAGCCGCCTTGGCCTCCTCCCGCGGGCAGCAGGAAGAGCCGCTCGAGCATGCCGCTCAGAAAGGCGGGCTCGAGACCCAGCATCAGCTCGTAGTCGGGAGAGTAGTTCACCTCGAGCAGCACCGGCTGCGGCAAGGGCGCGGCGCCGCCGGCCACCACCCCCGCCGCCTCCTCCTCCCCCCCCCTCCAGCCCGGCCCCTCGGCGAGGAGGAGGTCGACGCCGTACGCCGCTCGGCCGCCTCCACGGGCGAGGCGCGACCCCTCCGCCGCGCGGCTCGCCAGCAGCGCAACCAGCCGACCGAGCACCCCTGAGATGCGCCGCCACACCTCGCCCCACCGCCCGGGCAGCGAGGCGTGCTCCTCCTCGAGCCGGCGCACCGCCTCCGCCGCAGGCAGCACCGCCTCGTCCGCGCCCGCGTACCGCCCCCTCGTCAGGTGCGCCTCGGCGTCGCTGTCCGACGCGCCCGCGAACGGCGCGCGCGAGACGCGCATGTACCTGGGGCCAGGGGCGGGGCTGGAAATCAGGGGCGGGGCTGGAAATCAGGGGCGGGGCTGCAGGGCTCGGGCCATCGTGCACCAGCCCGAGGCGGAGGCGTAGGCGACGGGCGGCGAGAGGCTGGCGACGGCGAGGTGGAGGCGCAGCACCGCCTTGCGGCCTCCGACTAGCAGCGGCCGGTCCACGTAGCGGCAGGCGAGGCGAGGCCCGTGCGGCGCGTTTGCGGCGCAGCCGAGGAGAGTGGCGAGGGCGGCGGTGACGGTGTGGCCTAGAGGACACGAAAGGGCGGCCTCGGGGGAGATGGGTCGGGGCGTCTGCGGCTGCCGCGGCGGCGGCGGCGGCCGCGGCAGCGCGAGGAGGACCACGGCTTGAGGATGTAGCGCGCCGGAGGAGCGGCGGCGGCGGCGCGCCTTTGCAGGTCTTGCAGCAGCTCTGGCAGCTGCTGCGGCAGCGAGTACGCCTGCTCACGGTGACGCTGTGACGAGACGGTGCTCGAGGGTCGGCCAGCTGCCGCGGCAGCGAGTGCGCCTCCGGGAGCCACGGCGAAGGCGGGGCGGGGCCGGCGTCGAGGAGGGCGTGCAGCAGGTCCTACGGCCAGGGGTTGGGGTTGGGGCTGAGGCTGGGGTTAGGGCTAGGGCTAGGGCTGGGGTTAGCCGAGGACGGGTCCGGGGGAAGGGTGTGTCCGGGCTGGGGCGGGGGGGGGGGGGGGGGTCCGAGGAGGTGCGTCGGGGCTCCTTCGAGGTGAGGCACGACTTAGGGTTAGGGTTCGGGTTCGGGTTCGGGTTAGCCTTCGAGGTGAGGCACGACTCTTGCGGCAGCTGGTTGACGCAGGGCGCGCCCTCCTCCTCGTACGGAGCGAAGTCCCTCACGTGCTCGCCGCACCAGACGACGTCCGCGTCTATGAAGGGGTGATTCAACACTGAGCAGGCCTCCTATACTCGTAGAGCGCGCCGCACCGCGTCTGGGTCGCCGGGACGAGGCACGAGCTCGAAGCGACGCCCGCACAGGCTGGCGGCCAGCTGGGGCAGGTCCGTGTGCACGCGCAGCCGCCGGCCGGGCGCGAGCGCGGAAGGCGCGACAGGCGCGGACGGCGCAGACGGCGCGGCGGGTGCGGCGGGCGCGGTGGCTGGCTTTGGCGGCGGCGGCGTCGTCCCGGCCGCCTGAGCGAGCCAGCCGAGGAAGACCTGCCTCCCGCTCGCCGAGGAGGGAAGCCGCCCTGCAGCCGCGGAGGCCGCCTCCGCTCTCCTGCGCGCAGTGTCGACCCGCTGGCCCTCCTCGCTCGCCCACAGGCGGAGCCGGCGCTGCACCGCCGACCGCTCGCGCGGCTCGGCCCACCTCGCGGCGTGCGGGAGGAGCGGCAGGAGCAGCAGCGAGCAGTGCAACGGGGAGAGCTCCTTGTATCGGCCCTCGAGGTAGTTGCGGGTCAGCTCCACCTCCGCCACCTCTTCCGCACCATGCCGCGCTCCGGAGATTGCCGGCCAGGCGAGGGCAATCAGCTTGCCCTCGCCGCCGCGGACGACCGCCACCCGGTGCGTCGGCGAAGCGGAGTGCCGCATGCGCGCGAGGCGGGGCGGCAGGACCGCAAACGGAGCCGACTCTCCGTCTGCGGGCGAAAGTGGGATCAGGTCGAGCCACGCTTGTTCGCTCGCCACGTCGGAGGCCTCGATCGAGCCACAACGCGCCGCGAATAGCGCGTCCGGCGTGCCGCGCACGGGACCGACTGGCTCCGCCTCCGAAGGCGGAGCCATGCTGGCCATGTTGGCAAGGTGAAGGAGGGGCGCGTGGAACTGGCGCTCCACGTCGAGTGAGGAGAAATGTGAGCTGATTTCGCGCGCCATTCAGCGGCGCGAGGGAACAGGTTGGCGCCTCCACGGGCCGTCGAGAGGTGGCACGAGGTCGAGGTGGCACGAGGGTCGAGGGCGGGTGTCGGAGGGCAGCGCAAAAACAAAAAAAAATTATGCCGCGCCGCGTGCTTTTTTTCTTTCTCCGAGCGGACACACCAGTCGACACCAGGGCTGATAGCGACGATGAGGATCTCCTCGTCTTACCTCCCGGACCACCGCTTCGCCATTGCCATCGCCGCAGCGCTGGGCTACTGCGCCTGCGAAGCGCTCCATCGGCGCAGGCGGCAGGTGGCGGAAGCGGCCGACGCGTCGCAGTCCAGCGCTGCTGCGAGGTTCGCCCACGCTCCGCTCGCGGAGGCCGAAATGCCAGCTGAGCCGTGCGTGCTTCTGCGGGCGTGGATAGACGAGCTCGACGATGGCGGCCCGTGCTACGTGGTGCTGGCAACGTCATCGGCGAGCGAGGGAGCCACGGCCCGCACGCTCGTGCTCCAGCGGCTGCTCGCATCGGGCGGTCTGCTGGTTGGCAGCTCCGCCGAATCGCTCAAGGCGAGGCAGCTGGCCGATGACGTGCGCGCCGAGGCGGTGCTGCGCTGGGGTCACAGGCAGGTGCGAGTGCGCGGGCGGATGCGGGAGGGGAGCGCGGAGGAAACGGCCGACTCCTTCCGCCTGCAGCTGAAGGGGTTCCGGCTCGGGCTGCCGATGCTGCAGCAAGGGCAGCCCATCGACGAGGCGGGCCACGTCGCGTTGCGCGCCCGCTATGACGCGGCAGCCTCGAGGTGTAAGGGCGCGCTCGGCGACTCAGCCTCCAACTCCCCGCCCTCCAGCTACTCCGCGTACGTGCTCGAGCCGGCCTGTGTCGAGTTCTACTCTGGCGGCCACCCCGGCTGCATCAACGACCGCTTCCTGTACGTGCGGGAGGGAGACGCAACGTGGACGCGCACGCGGCTGCAGGCATGACGGGAGGGCGATCGCCGTCCCAACAGGAAGCCTGGGGAGATGTGAAATTATTTTGGTGGCCAACACCACATCCAAAATTATTTTTGCTGATGTGGCTTGTGGGGGAGGACCCAGCTCTCAGCCGGGTATTTCTGTCAGGGCGTCTTTGTTTTTGCTCTTACTACTTACAGCCGTCGCCATCTCGCCATGCATCGTCGCCTCCTGCTCCCTGCTCACCTCTGTTGCTCTGACCCTCAAACCAGCGGAGCGCAGAGGCCCGGCCATGGCGCCCGGCGCAGGCGCGAGTCACCAGTCAGCCACACGTGCAGCCTAGCGTGCAGCCAAGGATCGAAGCCGCCGCAAGGAGGCACACGGCATCCACGCCTGAGCCCTGAGCCCCTGAGGACCTCTTCGAGGCTCCCATCCTTTCGTCCTTCGTGGGGTTCCAGGCGGGGGTCGAGTGAGGGAAAAGGAGAGAAAGAAAACCGACACAAACGAGGGATGGAGAAGGACAGGGTCCCCACCAACGGACAGGCTAAAAAAAACTGCACTTTGCGCACGAAGCTCCGCCTCTGGCCTCGACGCCGCTGTTCGCGCCCTGGGCAGCCATGGTGTGGCGACCCTGGCCGCCGTCGCGCGGCTGTCGCCCTCCCGCTGACTCCGCCCTCGCTTCACCCCGCAGGGCAAGATCCGGCCCATCATGATCAAGGGCCACGAGCGCGCCCTGACGATGATCAAGTGCGCGCTCTCTCCGCCGGCCTCGCCTCGCCCACTCCTCGCCGCCGAGCCGCGAGCCTGCGCACAGGTACAATCGCGACGGCGATCTCATCTTCTCCTGCTCAAAGGACCACGTGCCGTCGGTCTGGTACTCTGAGAACGGCGAGTGCCCACCCCGCCGCCGCCGCCGCCGCCGCCGCTTTGGCTCACGAGCCGCCGCCGCGAGCAGGCGAGCGGATCGGCACGTACCACGGCCACTGCGGCACGGTCTGGTGCCTCGACGTCAACTGGGACTCGACCAAGCTGCTCTCTGGCTCGGCCGACAACTGCTGCAAGCTGTGGGAGGTGCAGAGCGGCGAGTGCCTCCACACGTGGAAGCACACGGCGCCGGTGCGGTGCGTCGGGTTTGCGATGGGGGACAAGCGGTTCCTCACCGTGCTCGACAACATCATGGGCAACGTGCCGACCATCTACGTGTGGGAGCTCGAGCTCAACAACCTGGTGCGAGGCCGAGCGAGAGTGGCCTCGCGCCCGCCGCCGCTGAGCCCTCTCGCCCTCCCGACTAGGCAAACCACCCGGACTGCCCGCTGCTCACGATCCTTGGCCACACGGGCAAGATTGGGCGCGCCCTGTGGGGCCCTCTCAACGAGGCGATCTACTCCGTCTCGGACGACTCCACGCTGCGCATGTGGGACCCAGACTCAGGTGCAGGCCGGGCCAGGGGGGCCAGGGGGAGGAGGAGGAGGGCAGGCTGGCGCCACATGCGGTGACCGCCGCGCCTCTGGCCGCAGGGGAGGAGAAGCACGTCATGGAGGGGGTGCACACCAAGAAGATCACCGACCTCCAGCTCTCCTACGACAAGACGCTCCTCTGCACCTCCTGCACCGACCAGGCGACTGCGGCAGCGGCAGAGTAGCCGCGGCAGAGTAGCCGCAGTACAGTAGCAGCAGTATGGCGCTGCTCCTCTGCACCTCCTGCGCCGGCCAGAGGCAGCCGCACACCCCGGACACCCCCCCCCCCCCCCACCCCCACCCCGCGCGCCGCCGCAGTTCGTCCGCCTCTTCGAGACCAAGACCCTCCGCCTCCTCTACGCCTTCAACTCTGAGCGGCCGCTCAACTCGGCCGCCATCTCGCCGCTGCCCCACTGCCCGTACCTCATCGCCGGAGGAGGGCAGGACGCCATGTCCGTCACGACGACCGCCGCGCAGCAGGCGCCCCGCGAGCGCACCACCCCCTCCCCCCTCCCCTCCATCGACCGCGCCAACCCCTCGCTCGCCCTCTCGCTCGCAGGGCAAGTTCGAGACGCTCTTCTTCGACCACGCCTTCGGGGAGGAGCTCGGCTGCATCGGAGGCCACTTCGGCCCCGTCAACACGCTCGCCTTCGCGCCGCACGGCCGCTCGTACGCCTCCGGAGGCGAGGACGGCTACATCCGGATACACCACCTCGACCAAGAGTACTTTGAGGCGTACGAGAAGAAGGTGACCGAGTCTGGCATTCTGGCGGCAGACAAGGCGTGAGACCGCCCACAGCCAGGCCGGGGACGAGGCGCAGCCCGCACGGGAGCGAGGGCCGGTCGGAGGTGACTCGCTCGGAGCGCCGGGGAGCGGCGCGGTGCAGCCGAGCACAGCCATAGGGCGCACGTCACACAGGCGCGGCCTCTCGCTCTCCCCACCTTCTCTTACACATTGTTGCTCCGCTGAAAAAAAGTAATATATCTTTACTTCCAACACCCGGACGTTCCCCCGGACTGGGAAGAGAGGTCCCAGGAGCACGCTCCTCTCGGGGCTGTCCCCCCGGCGCGCCCCGGCCGCCCCCACTTGCCCTCGCCTGACCCTGCACAGGATAGCGTGCCCCGACAAACGGCGACACATAGCGGGGGACACTGCGCCGGGGGGTATGCCTAACTTTGGTGCTTTGTGTGGGTCGCGTTCCCTTGGTAGCTGCGTGGCTGAAGCCCTCGTGCCGCCGGCGTACGTCCACCCCGCCCCTTCGCGCTTCGGAGGTGGTTCCCCCAGCGGCTGGCCCCTTGAGACTGTTGGTGCTTTGGCGGGAGGGAGGGGGAGAGGGCTGAAAAGCGCACAGGGATCACTGTGACACTGCCTTTTTACATGTAACGCCTGCGGCCTGGACGACCTTGGAGGAGTTGGAGTAGTCATCAGTCTTGAAACAGCCTCAGCCCTCACAGACACAGTCACACGGCCCGGCGCGCGCCGCCCCCGCGCGCGTTTGCCGTTTCGTCTCTCTCAGAGCCGAGAATTCTTCTCTTGGTCTTGCCCCACTCCAGGGTTCCGACTCCTACCCAGATAGGGGGTCTGTCCACACGCTCAGTCGCGCCAAAACGCCCTACACCTACCTCTACCTATTGAATACGGCCCGGCCCTATAACACCCATAACACCCATAACATGTTATGGGCTGCTATGCCCAGAGAGCCATAACACCATAACAATAACTGTGAGTGGGGTCAAACGCCCTACACACCTATACCTACCTATTGCGGGCGCCAACGGCAACGCCCAACCGCCAGGCGTCCGTGCCCCACCTACCTACCTAGATTGCGTGTGGCCGCGTAGTGAAGCGAAAAAATCCCGTTGAGCCCTCTGTGAATACGGGGTGTGGACCGTGAGTTGACCAGGGGTTGTGCGCTGGGCCCTCCTGCTCGGCTCCAGCGAGTAGACAAGTGTTAAAGCCGTACCACCAACAGAGAGGAGAAGGATCTGACCTCGGGGCCGATGTGACCAAGCGCTGGAGTGGTAGCGTGGTTTTACCTCACACCCATGGTCTCACCCAGTGTGCCGGCAGTCGCCGAGCAGCTCACACAAGCCGCAGCACAAGTGACTGAGGGCCAGTGAGGGCGAGCCCATCGCTGTCACAGCTGTGGCAGCCGCACAGTAGGCTGTGTCAACTGTGCAGAGCGTGTGAGCAGCAGTGGAGCTGCTCTCCAGGCTTCTGTCGCAAAGAGCTGCATGCCACCGAAAGCGCTGTCGAGGTTCGCCGAGCGCGGCGCAGGTTGAGGGAAGCCGCCACCGACGAGCGCGTTGGACTTTTCACTCCGGACAAAAGACAGTGGCACGCGCCGCTGCGCGGTGCGTGCCACTGTCTTAGCGGCGAGGCGCGGGACCGTCTGTGGCGAGGTGGGTCGCGTCCCTCGATTTCCTCAACTCACGGTCCACACCCTTTAGGCTCCCAGCGGCAGCGCCCGCCTCCGGGCGCCGCCACCGGGCCACCCACCGCGCTCCGCGGGCGCCGCCGCCGTACCCGTCTCGGCTGGCGTCCCAGCCGCAGGCGACTCGTCTGGCATGGCCCCGCTCGCGGCTAGCCGTCTCCCGCGCGAGCGACGGACCTACCTACAGACCCCCTATCTGGGTACCCGGGTAGGAGCCGGAACCCAGGGGGTACCACGCCCCACCTGTCCACTGTCCACCCTCCGCAATCTCGCGCTCGTCGACTTCTTCGCCGTGCGCCGGCACGCATGTACATGAGCGCCCTGTGGACCTTCGCCGCCGCCTGCGCTGTCACACGGCCGCCGCAGGCTCTCCTGTCGCGCCGGGAGCTTGCCGCGGCCGCGCTGGCCGTTCCGGCTGCTGCTCACGGCACGGCCTCGCTTTTGCCGGTTCCCGCGTCGGCGCAAGCGGGTTTCAAGCTCAACACTGGCGTCAACTTCCCCACCGCCTCGTTTGGGCTCCAGATCTACGATGACAAGGATGCTGAAGAGCTCACGCTCGTGGCGCTCGAGTGCGGCTATCGCAATTTTTTTGCCTCGGTGCTCGCGCGCAACCAGAGAGGGTTCGCGCGGGCCATCCAGCGCTCGGGCGTGCCGCGCGAGGAGCTCTTCATCTGCGGCTCGGTCCTCTCCAACCAGGCGCAGGGCTTCGACGCCGCTCGGAAGCTCTCAGCGAGAGGCTGCCGAGAGAACCTCGAGGCCTTCGCCTCGGCCACCGACTACGTTGACATGATAATGCTCGACTACCCAGGGCCCGACGACGACTCGATTCGTGGGCAGTGGGCGGCGCTGGAGGAGATGGCGGCGCAGAAGACGACCCGCTCGCTCGCCGTCTCCAACTTTTCTCCGCGCCAGCTGGACGTGATCCTTGCGGACAAGAGCGCCACAGTGCCAACCGTGAACCAGCTGCCCTTCGGCGTGGGCTTTGCTAACATCTACGACGGCAACGCGGCCAGCATCGTCGCAGAGAACTCGAAGCGCGGCGTGGTCGTGCAGGCCTGGTCGCCACTGCAGCGCGCGCTCCGAGGCAACCGCAAGGACGCGTGCGCGATGATCGGCCAGAAGTACGGCAAGACGGCGGCGCAGGTCGCACTGCGCTGGATCGCAGACATGGGCTGCAGCTTCACGACTGCGGGCACGCGGAAGCGTGACGGTGCGCCCGCCCGTTTCCGAGAGAACCTCGACATATTTGACTTCAAGCTGACACAGGAGGAGATCGCTGCCCTCGCAAAGCTGTGATGGTGTGTGCAGAGGGCGGTGCAAGAGGTTGTGCATCCATACCCCCACAGCCAGTGTTGTTTGTGCGCATGACCATGAGATGTCGCTTGTCGGAGAGGAGGAGCATGGCCGTCTCGCTTTACTTTTATTATGTGTTGCATGACTAGTGTATGTACTATGTATGCTAGTATGTATGTATGTGTGTATGTAGGATGGTGCCGAAGAATCCGCTAAGATATTAAATAATTAAAGAAGAACAGCCAGGCTCGGACTGGACACCAACGCGGTATGGGTGGACGCTGGACAGATGATACTAGTGTAGAAGAACACGGGACCGGCTCCAGCTTCGACTGAGGGCGACAAGCTGCCGAGCCCATGCAAATCACTGTGAGAGTCGTGATTTTTTGTCTTGGCAGCGCAAAGAGAAAAAGAATCTGAAAATACAAGCCTCTCTCACAGCACAACATACCTACAGCACTGGCACGACAAAGGGCGCAGACGCGCTGACTGCGCTTACGCGCAGACTGGAAAAAAAAAGAGGCCCGCACTCGGCTCTCCGCCAGCGGCAGGTCCCTTTACTTGAAGCGCTTACGCTGGCTTGCCCCTCTCTCTTGAGAGTAGAGAGATGAAGATGCTCGCCGGGCTGCGGCGCAGTGGTAGCAGCACGGCGGCGAGCGCGAAGGAGCGCGCCTCCGTGCTCGAGCTGCAGATGGCGGTCGGCGCACGGCCGGTCAACCGAGGCCACCGAGCACTCGCGCTGCTCGCAGACGCGCTGGAGGAGGAGCGGGACGAGACGGCCGGAACTAGCGCTCGCGTCCTCAGCCGGACAGCTTGGGCTGCGTTCTGCGCGGATGGCGACGCGATGGCCGACCTGCCTCTCCCCGCTGCCGAGTTTGAGGCGTGGGCGAGCAGGGTGACTGAGTGCGCGCGGAGCGAGATTGAGCGAGGCGCCGGCGACGACGCGATTGCGCTCCTCCGACGCGAGTGGGGCTGCGCTGTGCCGCTCGCACTCCAGACGCACGCACGCGCCGAGTCGGCCGAGGCGGTGGAGGAGAGAAGTCCGAGGTCAAACGATGCAGCGCTGCAGCGAGCTCGAGAGGCGCGCAGCGGACGCGCGGGTCCGCCCAAACCGCGCGCCGCGAGTCCGCCGACCGACGAGAATCCGTTCTTGAGCTGATCGGCCGCAGAGACGAGAGAGGAGAGGTGTCGAGAGACTGGCGGCGAACGCGACGCGGTGCATACGCGATACGCACTTCGTTCTCTGGTGGGTACTGTACACATCGAGAGCCCGTACATAACCAAATTCCGGTCGTCAACATTAAAACTAGCTGGCCGCGGAATCGCGTGTCCTCTCACACTCACGGACACTGTCTCCCAGACCCAGTCCCGTCCCAGACCCAGTGTCAGTCTCTCCTCCGCCCCGGCGGCCCCGGGCAATGAGCGCTCCGCACGTCTCGACGAGCGCCGCAGGCATGCCCTCCTCTAAGTCGAGCGCGTAGCCGCCCTCGAGGCCGATCGCCACTCGCTCCGCCGGGAAGCCGTGCTCGTCCAGCACCGCCCTCACAGCCTCGCCATAGTCGGCGGGGCTGAGCTCCATCGTTGCAAGAGGGTCGGCCAGCAAGCCGTCGTACCCCGCACAGACGAGCAGGACGTCAGGAGGGCGGGCCAGCAGGAACGGGAGGGCCTTGTCCCGCAGCGCGGAAAGGAATGCCTCTCTTCCCGAGCCGCGGGGAAGCGGCAGCCGCAGCAGGTTGCCCCGCGGGCCGCGCTGCTGCTCCTCCTCTCCGCCGCCGGGGAAGCCGCCGAACTCGTGCAGCGAGCAGTACAGCGCTCGCGGCTCCTCGCGGAGCAGGTCGGCGACGCCGTTCCCATAGTGGACGTCCCAGTCGAGGATCGAGACTCTCGCCTCCGGCCGCGCCGTGAGGAGCGCAGCAGTGGCCGCGGCAGCAAAGTTCACGAGTCCGAAGCCCATCGCGACGCTCGCAGTGGCGTGGTGGCCCGCCGGCCGAGACAGGGCGACCGCCGGGCCGCGCGCCTCCGCTGCGAGCGCCGTCGCGTGCAGCCAGGCACGCGTGCCGTCCAGCATCGCCTCCCACGAGCCGGGCGCGCAGTACGTGTCCATATCAAACCCGCCGCCGCCGCTCTGGGAGAGGCCCTGGACGGCTCGCAGGTGCTCGACAGTGTGCACGAGCTTAAGCGCGGCGACGGCGTCCTGTGGCGTGCGCTCGCTGTCCAGAGCCCGAGTCCACACGATGCGACCCGCGAATGGCGCAGCGGTGAGCGCTTTGCGTGCGGCAACCAGCCGCGTCGGGCTCTCGGCGTGCCGCTTGCCGGGAGGCGGCCGGTGCCGCTCGTGGAGCGTCTGGTGCACGACGGTGAGCGACCAAAGACTGGAGGTGGGCACGATGAGCAGCATACACACACATACACATATACACACACAGCCACAGCCGCTCCGGGTGGGCGTGGGCCCGGCTTTTCTTCCGGCCACATTTACTTTGCCTTCTGGTCCATACTCGTATCTACTCATTCACCCACTCCTCCCGGGAGGTGCCAGCTAGGTGCCTTTCGGCATTCTACCTCACACCAAGCATCCCAAACAATTGTCGTGCGTCCATCCGCGCCGTTCACTTCGTTCGGCCGAAGAAAGGGCCGGATATGATCATTCGGACCGCCGGCCTCCGCCTGGCGGCGCGGGGGTCGCGGTTGCTGTCCACGCGTGCGCTTGTGCTGAACGCTGGCTCGTCCTCGCTCAAATACGGCCTCTTTGAGCTCGGTGCGGAGACCAAGGCGGTGTGTTCGGGGCTCGTCGAGCGTGTGGGTAGCGCCGGCTCGAGCATTACTCACAAGCTGGGCGACAAGAAGACTGTGCTGGAGGTGGATCTCCCGGACCATGGCGTTGCGCTCGAAAATGTGGTCAGCATCCTCACCGAGGCGGGCGGGCCCATCGGCTCGGTGGACGAGATCGCCGTCGTTGGCCACCGTGTTGTACACGGAGGGCCGACCCTCACCAAGCCGGCGGTGGTGGACGCGGCCGTGGAGGCGGAGATTGAGCGCTGCGTGCCACTCGCACCGCTTCATAATCCTGCCAACCTGCTGGGCATCCAGTTCGCTCGCAAAATCTTCCCGACAGATCACGTGGCCATCTTTGACACTGCCTTCCACTCCACCATGCCGCCTGACTCCTACATGTGAGCCAGCCGCGCGAGGGAGGGACTTGAGGGCCAGCGCCCACTGCATGCGCGCCTCCCCCACCGCTCGCAAGGTATGCGCTTCCCAAGTCGTTGTACGAGGAGCACGCTGTCCGCCGCTACGGCTTCCACGGCGCGCGGCACTGCTGTCGTGCCCCTGTGCGCCGCTCGCCGCTCGCCGACTGAGCCGCCGCCGGTATGCAGGAACTTCGTACACGTACGTGCAGAAGAAGACAGCCGAGCTGCTTGGCAAGCCGGAGGACTCGCTCAACCTGGTGATGTGCCACCTCGGCAATGGCGCGAGCATGGCGGTGAGCAAGGGGGGAGTGTGCATCGACACCACGATGGGGCTGACGCCGCTCGAGGGGCTCGTGATGGGCACGCGCTCGGGCGACGTCGACGCGGGTGTGATCCACTTCCTCTCAAATCACCTCGGCTACTCGAGTGATAAGATCGACAAGCTCCTGAACAAGGAGAGCGGGCTGCTCGGCTTGTGCGGCTCGTCCGACTGGCGCAACGTGTGCGAGGAGGCGGACAAGGGCAACGAGTCGGCGGCGCTCGCTCGCGCGCTCTCCATCCAGCGGATCCGCAAGTACCTCGGCGCCTACCTCGTCAAGCTCGACGGCAAGTGCGACGCGGTTGTCTTCACCGGCGGCATCGGCGAGAACGATGCCAACCTCCGCGAGTCGGTCTGCGCGGGCCTCAGCAAGTTTGGCATCGACATCGACTCGACCAAGAACAAGGTTGGCATGTCCGAGGTCCAGTCCTCCTTCGCGAGCGTCAAGACCCTCGTCGTGCCCACCAACGAGGAGCTCTCGATTGCACTGCAGAGCGCGCAGGCGGCCGGCGTGTTGCCGGCAGCCAAGGTGGCCAGCGCAAAGGCGAGCGTCAAAGCGGCGACCACGGCTGCTGTGCCAGCAGCCGCCACGTCGACCGTGGCTCCGCTCGGCGGCGCAATCTACATCGAGACGGACCTTAGGAACACCGAGTTGACCGAGGCGGCGCTCCTCGCCACGGTCGTCAAGCGCTCCTCCCAGCTCGGCTACTTTCGGCTGCTCACGCCCGGCGTAGACAAGGACCCGTACCTCCAGTACATGCGCGCGACGGCAAAGTTCGGCCTCACCGACGTTCCGGTGGAGGCCATGTACGGCATGACGACGGAGGAGGCGGCGGAGCTCTACGCGGCGGGCAAGGCCGACGAGGTTTTCGGAACGATCGTCGACAAGTACAAGGCCTATGCCGAGGGCCGTGACTTTGTGCTTGTGACGGGGCAAAACGTGGATGCGCGCGGTGCACGCGAGGCGCCTGGCTCCTCCTTCTTCTACGCGCAGCTGATCAAGTCGCTCGACATCCCGGCGGTCATCGTCCACGACTGTTATATTGAGGGCGTAGAGGGCGCGGAGCTTGAGGCAGAGCTGCAGGGCATTAAGGTGCGTTCAAGGCTGGTCGGCACAGGCCGCCACCTGCATCGAACGCGGACGCGCTCGCTCTCCACTCCCCGTAGGCGGGCTTCGACCGCGAGTCGGTGACCTGCGCCGGTGCGATCATCAAGGGGCTCCCCGAGGATAACTTTGAGGCGGCCGCCGCTGAGCAGAAGGCGTCGCTTGAGCGGCTCGGGATCTCGCCCATCGCGCTTGTGCCGACACACAAGAATCTGCACCTGCCCACGATGGCAGAGATTGCGAAAGAGACCAATGCGGAGATCCTATACGGCCACGGCAACCTGCACGCTCAGTTTGTGGAAAACATCGAGGTGGGCACGCTGCAGGTTCCCGACCTGCTCGCCCAGCTTCAGGAGCAACCGGGCACCCTCGTCGTCGCCGCCGCCGGCCGCACTGACATCGTGCTGTCGCTGCTTCTCGCGACGCAGTCCAAGTGAGACTGCCGCCCTTTCCCAGGGATCAACTCGACGCAGACAGCCCCGACCCACGCACCGCTTCTCCGGTAGGAACGCGCCCAATCACCCGGGTATCTTGCTGACCAACGCCAAGTCGATCCCGCCGCACATCTCGAAGATTCTCGCCGGCATCGAGGGCATCGGAATGCCGGTGATGCTCACAGAGATGTCCTCCTTCCAGGCCGCCGACGTGGTCAACACCATGGGGCGGGCGCTCCACCCCCTCGCCTCGGAGAAGGGCGGGCTTCAGCAGGGCAAGCTCGAGACGGCGCAAATGCTGATCGACAAGTACATTGACCCCGCCTTTGTCGATGCGATGGTGGCGCCCTCTTCGACGGTGCGCGACATGTCTCCGCTCATCTTCAAGCACAACATGTTTTCGGCCGCGCGTAAGAACAAGCAAAAAATCGTGCTTCCCGAGGTGGCGTCCAAGCCGAGCTGAGTCCTGCCACCCCCAGCCGCCAAGCTGCTCCCCTTACCCGCGCTCGTGCGCCTCGCAAGGGTGACGACGCTCGCGTGGTCACCGCCGCCGGCGAGCTGCTCGCGCGGGACCTGTGCGAGGTCACCATCGTCGGGAAGAAGTCGACCGTAATGCAGCTCGCAGAGAAGGCGCGGCACACGCGTGCGCGGCGAGGACCATCTGCGCATGCCTCAATGCCAGCACCCACCCCCCTCGCAGGCGCACGTGGATGTGAGCAAGGCGACGATCATCGATCCGGCACAAGTGCTTGTGGACTCGCCGGAGCCGTGGGCGACGAAGATGATCACCGGGCTGTACGAGGCGAGAAAGAAGAAGGGCATGACTGAGGAGCAGGAAGCCACCTGCTATCCCGGGCTGTGGTGGGGCAAGCGGAGGCCATCACGACCACCCTCCGAGCCGCGCAGGCGCTCCAGCTCCTGCTCGACGACCCCGCCTACTTCGGCACGATGATGATGATGGAGGGCATTTGCGACGGCATGGTCTCTGGCGCGTGCCACTCCACGGCAAACACGATGAGACCAGCGCTACAGCTCATCAAGATGGCGCGCGGACCCTCGCTGCTCCTCTCAACCCCCAATTATCCGGCCCGATGACGAGTCCTTCGTGACCACTCAGGCGCCCGGCCGGGCCCAAAAGGTCAGGCTTCCCTGTCCCGGTACTGTACGACTTCTGGCCTCGATTGACGGTTACGCCTTGATTCTCAGTTGGGCGCTCCGGCAGAGTGAAGAGCTCCGAGATTGCCCTCGCCAGTGCTGGGACGGCGAAGGCCTTTGGGATCGATGCGCGCGTCGCCATGCTCTCCTACGCGACGGGAGACAGCAATGCGGGGCCCATGATCGACAAGGTGCGCGAAGCCACCGAGGCCGCAAAGGTCAAGGCGCCCGAGTTCCCCTTCGAGGGGCCGATTCAGTTCGACGCGGCGGTCGACCCGGCGGTGGCGGCGGTCAAGTTCAAGAACTCGGATTCGAAGGTGGCAGGCAACGCGACCGTCTGCATCTTCCCCGACCTCAACGCAGCGAACAACGGGTACAAGGCGGTGCAGCAAGCCTCCCAAACGTCCGCCGTCGGGCCCATCATGCAGGGCCTTCGCCTGCCCGTCAACGACCTCTCGCGCGGCTGCACCGTGGAGGACGTCGTCAACACGGCCGTCTGCACCGCGCTACAGTGTATCGCGGCCAAGGAGGCGGCTGGGAAGTGACGGGGGTTGCATGCATGTGCCATAACAATAACTGCTTTTTTCTCTCACAGTTAATTCAATTATTGAGTACACACGCGCACACGCTCTCTCGCCCCTCGAGTACTCAGTACTCTTCGCGCGCTACTTCGAGCAGGCGTATTTCCCCCCTCTGCCCATCAGCCTCCTGAACTCGCCAAAGTCGATGCTCCCGTCTCCGTTCGCGTCTGACGCTTGGATCATCTGTCGCAGATCCTCCTCAGAGCGCCGCTCTCCCGTGGCGGCAAGGATGGTTTTAAGCTCGTCCCACGATATGGCACCTGATCCGTCCCGGTCAAAGATGCGGAACGCAACTGCGAGAGGGTCGAGCTCCAGCAACGACGGACCGCCCGGCTGAGCCGACGCCTGCGCATGCGACTGAGAGGCCGCTTCGGCGAGCGCAATTTGCTTCGAACCCAGAGGCAGCGCGTTGACGCCGGCGACCCACGCAGCTGCTGCTTCGCAACTAGGGGCGAGCACCTCCAACAGCGAGGAAGCGAGGACGAGACGCAACCCGCACCCGCGAGCCGCGCGGCTACGCTTGGGCTGCTGCTTGAGCACCGAAGCCGCTGCAGGCGAGAGGCCGGGTAACGCTCCGAGCAGCGTGAGAGGCGGCCAACGGTCCGAGAGCAGGACACTGCGTGATGGTGCGACGCGTAAGTACACCTCAGCCGTGCTCTCGGTGGCGAGGTCTATGAGCTGCGCCATGCAGCCACGCACGACGCTGAGTGACGCCGTGGCAATGCCACGCACGACGGAGGGGGCGCACGCCGCTTGCAATCCAGCCTGCAAGCTCACGCACTCATGGGCGAGGCTTTCCAACGTCGTGCGATGCCCGCTCTCATCTGCAGCCTCTGCTGACCCCTCAGCCTTCTTCCCGGAGGCCAGCTTCTTTGCGCGTGTGGCAGCCAAGTGCTTAGCCGCTGGCAAGGGGATCTGACGACGGCCTGTATTCGCCGGCTCTGCGTCGAGGGCAAGTCGACAGGGTGCGGTGCCACAGGGACCGGGCCCAACCGCTGCCTGCGGAGGTGGGGGCGACAGCTGGTGGCGAACGCGCATTGCGTCCTCGACGAGTGGGGCCGCTGCAGCCTCGATCTCAGAGGTTGAGGGTGGCGGCGGCGGCGGGTGCAACATGAGCCGGCAGAGCTCCTCCGGCAGCTGTTGGCGACGAGCACCAACACCAGTACCACCAGTGCTCGTGCCAGCACGGGAGCTGCGGAGCACGGCCACGTGGGCGAGCCAGGCGAGCGTGAGGCGCACCTCATGCAGCACCGACCGCGCGCAGTGGACGGAGAGCAACGCGCACGTGGCGTGCCAGGTGTGCGCCTCCCGCGCTCCGCTCTCGCCACCGTCAAAGCTGAGGCATGCGAGCGCGTCAAAGGAGAGAGGCGCCCATGAGCTCTCCGGCGCCCAAGCGCTTTGACCTCTGCCTTCGGTTCCGCCCTCCACTGCCTCTACGCCCGTCGCAGCCCCGATCTCCCGCGTGTAGATGTCTTGCGGGTAGGCGTGGGCGCCTGGCGCTGCGAGGATGGTGGTGCCGCCGACGTGAACCTTGAGACAGAGAGGCTCGTCGGGCAAGGTTGGGTCGAGGCGGATCGAGCAGCCCGTGAGAGGTAGCACGATGGCGTTCCCCTGACCCGCTACTGCACCAGCACCGGCGCGTACCTTGTCCCTAGGTTTGGCGCGTAGCACCAGGCACCCTGCCGGCACCAGGGAGGCGGCACACCGGCAAAAGCGGCCGGGCCCTTGCAATTCGGTACCCGATGCCCGGCGCGGCGAACGCGAGTGCCACGCTAAGCGTGCAGCAATTGCGCCGTGCAGAAGCGGCGGCGTCACGCGTGCCTCCGCAGGCCGCTGAGGTCCGCGTTGCAAGAGCACGTGGTGAGATCTCAGCTGCGAGATCAACGCCACCGCCTCACCCTCAGCAAGCGTGGACGCCACGGCCGCTGGCAAAAACGTCGATCCTAGATCCGTGGCGGCCTCAACCTCGGCCTTGGCGAGGCACAGTAGCGCTTTTAACTCCGCCGACGCATCCGGCACTGGCTCCTGCATATCGTCAGGCAGCCCCATCTCCATTGATTCAGCCTTCTCGGCGACGAGGGGGCTGGCATCGCCACCCTCTGCCACGCGGCTGAGGCCCGAGGGAGCTGCGTCTGTCCGGCACCGCGGCGACAGCTCGCTAGGCATCGTGGTGTGTCGCCGCCCAGGCTGCTTGTGGCGGCGCATTGCTGGTGAAGCCTGTGCGGCCGGCGGGCGCCGGCCGCGGCTCTTCCTGTCAATCGACATAGGCCCTTCCGCAAAGCTGCTCGATGACAGTGGGCCATCGAGTACTGACCGGAGGTGCGCTGTGACTGTCCGTACAAGCGAAAGGTCGGGAACCTGGAGGTTGATCAGCGAAGACGGGTCGAGCGCCTCGGCGATGATTCCACTCGCGCCTGCGGTGCGGAGGGCCTCGGCGAGGCTTCCACCGCGCCGGTCGAGATGCTCCGCTAGCCAAGCTGCATCGCACTCCCGAGCCGCCTTCAAGATGGCAGCGGTTGTGGGATCTGACGTCTCCCTCTCCGACTGCCTCAACGCCCGATGAACGCGTGGTGAGTGCACTGGGCTCGGCTTGTGACACTGCTGGACGCCTCTTGCGGAGAGCGGCGAGTTTCCGCGCGCAGAGATCTCGCCGAATGGGCGCACCGGACCAATGTCGACGCACGACCGTCTGGCGGAAGCTTTCGATTCGACTCGACGCACCGTTCTGTTTTGGGTCCGATGGCGCGTGGAGGGCGCAATGGTCGGCTGGAGTGCAATGGCGGCAGTGCTCAACTTTGGCATTCTCCGCGACGGCGCCCTCGCGTTGACGTCCTCTGCCGTTGCCTCCTCCGCTGGGTGTGCATCACTCGAGCATCGCTGCTCGGGCGGCCCACCGTGCTGGGCGGCATCACCGTCCTCGGGTTGAGCGCGCTGCCGCACGACCACCCGCATCGGCGAAACGTTCATTCTTGGACGTGTCCAACACGAATTTAAAAGTCCAGTGAAATCGCTCGCGGGATGTGCCCGGTCTTTGACCGTTTTCAGTGAATGTGCTCTTACGCACGTACCCGAAGGTGGACTTTTCGAAAGAAATAATTATTCGACGAAGCGCTTTCCTCTCGCCAGTGTTCTTGCCTTGGAGAACAAAGGTGGCTCAACATTAGAGACACCTCATCGTTGACGGGTACGAGAACAAATCATGGCACCTCGACACCCATGATCACCCATGATGCCGGTAACGCATGGTAATTTGCGGCTTGCGACGTACGTCCTCGCTTTGGGCAGGCGTCCATCGATCCATGGAAGACGCCGGGGGTGGCAATGCTCGAACAACCTGGTGTCGACGACGCTCCTCGCACCTGCCGTGTCTGCTTTGATGAAGTGAGCGAATCCGACCCGGACGTGGTACAGCCATGCGAATGCCTCGACGCAGGCCGCCCATCGCTCGCCCACCGGACGTGCGTGCAGAAGTGGATATCAACGAGGCCAAATCTGCGGTTGTCATCGTACGGCCGACGCGACCTCGGCTTGTGCGAAGTTTGTTCCAAGCCGTGGCGCCAGCAGTACGAGCTTCCCGACCCGCCGGCCGAACTTTCTGTCGAAGAGCTCGAGAGCCGGGCCAACTGGATGCTGTTTACTGCATACGCGCGCTCGCATCGGATTGGCGGCCTGCAGCCGCGCGACACCGATCAGCTCATCCTGAACGAGCTCGGGCCCCACTTTGATGGCCCCTGGAACGAGCCCGCGCAGGCGTGGCGCGGCACTCTCCCTCCAGCGTTGGCAGCGCAGCTCTCATCCATGATTGCTCAGGAGAACCGGGGCCGCGCTGGCGGCGGCCGGTCGCGGCTGAGCCTGGCCTTCCTCCGGCGACCCCGTGGATTGCGATGGCCGCCATGGCGGCGGCGGAGGAGGGACGACGGCCCCCCCCCTGACCCCGCGGCGGGTGACGACGCGGGCGACGAGGAGGGGGCTGGCAGCGGCGGCGAGGATAGCGGTTCAGGCGCCGCGGCGCCGGAGGAGCGGCTCACCCAAGCTATTGCGCAAGCCTCGATCGAGGGGCTTGCGTGAGGGCGGCGGTGGCGCACTCCGGAAAGAAGGACAGCTCTTGGTTGGACAGACTGAGGTGAGGGCGAAGCGTGGAGACGTTTTGCTTTGGTCGTTGGAGCACGCACGCACGTATCGAGATGCGCTGTCTGGGCGGCATTTAGGTGGCTGTGTCTGCTGGAGGCGCGGCTGCAAAAACACATCGCGGGCGATAGCGGCTGACCGTGATCCGTGTGCCGCAGTGCGCGCAGAGATAGGCGCCCCCCGCGCGCCCCGGGCGCCCCGCCCCGCGCGCGCCTCTGCGGCACGGCCATGACACCGGAAAAATAGTGCACGTCCTCGTCGATCCAGCAGAGCGCGCCGTCTCTGCTGCTATGGCCAAGTGGGCTGAGAGACGAGAGGGATTTTTCCCTCGGGCGGAAGTGCAAGTGGAAGAGCGCCCCGACTTCTAGTAAATTGTGCCAGGCGTAGCCGGGGCGCCCGCCGGGGGCGGATAGCACGGAGAACCGATTTTCATTTGGCGCAGAACCCTCCTTCCTGAGTCACCAGAAAAATCCCAACGTTCCTTGAGCGGAGGCCGCCTTGGCCACACTTTGTGGAGCTCTCCGGAGAATCTGAGAGAATGGCTACCATAAGAGCCCAGCACCCCAGCATGGCACCCGCAGGCAAACGAAAGCTGCCCCCACATGTCCCTAGAGCCCATGGGTGTATTCCCAAAGGATATGTCAGCGCGAGGTGAGGGCGCAACGGTGGGGGCTCTCACCAGCATCAGAGGGGCGGGCAAAGGCACGTGGGAGAAGGGTCAGTGCGGCCCACAAAGTGTGAGCTAACCCCTCTTCTAGGTGTGGCTCTACAGCCCCTGAGGCCCTCTAGACTTCTATACCAACAGCTTGGGCAGAGCTTCTCGGGTGGGCGGGGAGAGAGGTGGAGCCCCACTTTTCAGGCCTCTCCACTGCGCCTTAACTAGTATGACTGTGAAGAGCGTTTTGACACGTAAAGCTCTCGGTGACAAAAGTGCACTGGACCCCACCACCACACCCTCCCGCCTGCGCCTCGCCCAGCCCTCCTGCTCCCCCTCTCCCTCCCGGAATCCCGCGTTGGACCGCTCCACCCTCCCAGCTCGCTGGGCCCTGTGGGACTGAGAGCCAGGGAGGGGGTTAGTCCTAGGGTTAGGGTTAGCGCTGTGGAGCCCTCCCGACGCCGATCCGACGGGGAACCTCCAGTCCTGTGGCGTGGTGTGCCCTCCTATCGGAAGGTGGACGTGGGAGGGCTCGAGGACCTCTCTCGCTCCGGGAGGGTGGAGGGGTTGAGGGTCGTGGAGGGGTGGAGGGGTGGCTGAGCCCTCTAGCTCTGCCGATATCGCCACCCCACCCTCCGTTTTAGGGCCTCCCCACCCGCTATGAGTCAGGGCAGACGTCGACCTTGTCGTCCGTGGATGAAGTCACCTCGTCTGGGTCGACAACGACGTTACTTGCGCGAGTCGCGCGGTCCTGTGCTTGCGTGAGCCTAACGTCGTACATCGTGATCCGGCCGACCTTTTGGGCAGGAACCTTCGCGGCGCACGAGCGGCGATTGACCGTTGCCCGAGCGAGAGTGTGGCGCACCTTCTTGGCGCCGACGTTGAAGCCGGCAACCACGAGGAGTATACCAGCGCGTAGCAGATCATCACCAAACACCAATCCCCCAACGGTCGCCATCCCGTCGAAGCCGTTCTGAGGCTGCCATTCGCATTTGCAATGTGCCCGCTCGTACTCGAGTACAGCTCCAAGACGCCGTCCCATCCTTGCTCGTCAAGTCCAAAGTCGTCACACGTTCAGCGTGTTCTCCAACGCTTGCTCGTAGACATACTCCTCTTCGGCCTCCTCGGCGAACTCGGAGGGTCGGAGCACGGGCTGTGGTCGCTTGCGGGGCAGTTGGGCGGTACCGCGTCGGCTTCGAGGCAACGATCGACGCTGGCAAAGAGGGAGTAGAGTGCCGAGCCGAGTAATGTAGTGTGTGAGCTACTGACCGGCAACGACGTGAGTGTGAATGAAGGCCTCCAGGGCTCGCCCTTTCAGTTTTTTTTTTTGTCAGACCAGCCAGCAGCGCGCGCATTGAGAGAGAGAGATTTTTAGCAATACCAAACAACTCTAACACTCACACGTCATTTGGCTCCAGGCCCCAAATGACGTGTGAGTGTTAGAGTTGTTGTTTGTTCGCCAGAAAACAAAGAAGAAAGTCGAACTCATCGGCGCGGGCTCTCTCGGCTACGGGACCGGCCCCAGCTTCGGCTGAGGGCTGACAAGCTGCCGAGCCCAAATCACTGTGAGAGTCGTGATTTCTTGTTGGTTTTCTAAAATCTCTCTCTCTCTCAAACAAACAACGCATTGAAGGGACAACAGGTTGTTGTTTCTCAACTCCTAAAATTCAATCGTTGGGAAGAGACGTGTTTTCTTCTCGAAAGGTCTGTGAAGTAAGAGTCTTGGAGTGCGTCTTGGCTTCCGGGAAGTAAGCCCCACCTGTGAAGTAAGACCCATCTTCCCAATCGCCATCGCCGTGAAGAGCGTTTGACACTTGAAGGCAGCTTGAAGGCTCACCTGCTGGTCGGTCGGCGCAACCGGAGACAGTGGCTGGGTTAGTGCACGATGCTCGGCGGACTCCTGAACCCAGAGTTCCGCCCTGATCACCTCTTCCCCTTCGGCGTTTTCGCCGCCGTCAAGCTCGCCGGCTGGGCCGTCAAGCTCCTGTTCTCCTTCTGCTACCGGCCAGACGCGCCAGAGCATTCCGGCGAGCATACACCCTACCTGGCCGCGCACACGACGCTTGTTTGCCCTGTGCTCTCGCCAAGCCTGCCGGCCCTGAAGCTCGCGCTCTATTCTTGGGTGGCCTGCCGCCCATCCTCTATTCTCATCGTCGCCTCGGTCAACGAGGCCGACCAGATCGAGCGCGCGGTGAGCGAGGCGCTCTCCACCTACCCGGACGGCCGCTTCGTGTGCCGCATTCGGGTGCTCGAGGCAGACCCTGGGGCGGGCAAGCGCGACAAGATGATGGCCGGCGTCGAGGCGTGCGAGGCCTCGACCGGAGTGGTTGTCTTTGTGGATGACGACGTGACTTGGCCTCCGAGCATGCTCCGCTGGCTGCTCAAGCCGTTCGAGCGTCGAAACGTCGGCGGCGTGGGCACGTCGCAGGCCATGCGTCCGCTCCGGGAGGACGGCGCCGAGACATCGTGGGAGGTCGGCCCCGCCTCCACCGAGCCCTCCATCTCCATGATCTCCGCCACCTCCATAATTATCCCCACCCACCGAGCCCGCCCCTTCCAGTCTCCTTCCCCGCCTCCACCCAGGTCCTCGCCGACATGCGCCTCACACAGCGCTTCATAGACGTCGCCGCGAGCCAGGCGAGCGACTCGAGCAAGCGTCGTAGAGCAAGCGTCGTAGAGCGAGCGGCGCGAGAGAGGCTGGACCAACCTGCACGACCGCCCCCCCCCCCCCCCTCGCCCTCCGGTCCTCACCCCCCCCTGCCCCCCGCCCCCGCCAGGCCCTCGACGGCGGCTGCCAGTGCCTCTCCGGCCGCACCGCCGCCTACCGTCACCACATCGTGGCCGACCCGGTCTTCAAGTCCCTCTTTCTGCGCGAGACGTGGCGAGGCGTGCCCCTGCAGTCTGGAGACGACAAGTTCATCACTCGCTGGCTCGCGAGGCGCCTCCGACGAGCAGCACCAGCAGACGCCCCCCGCACTCCTCGCCCACACGCACAAGCCACATGCACGCACAAGCCCCCCCTCCCCCCCCCCAGCCCAACAGAGTAGCCCCCCACACACGCCCACAGACCTCTCTCACCGACACCGACCCGACCTCGCGCGCTCGCGCGCTCGCGCACACGGGCGCGAGTGGGAGGTGCAGATGTGTTACGATGTCACATTATGTCACAGGCACGACTGGGACGTGCAGATGCAGCTGCACCCCGACTGCACTGCAATGACCACCTTCCGCCCCGACGCCACCTTGCTGCTGCAGCTGCTGCGATGGAGCAGCGCACACGCGCCGCTCGGACCTCCGCTGGGTCTTAGTGATGAGGCAATCCTCCCTTTGTTGCTAGGAGTCGAAACACGTGGCGCTCGGACCTCCGCTGGGTCTTCGGCCGCGTCTCCCTCTGCGGCCTCGCGCACCTCGGCTCGCAGGCGGGAGGGGCTGCTCCAGGGGCACCTCTAGGGGCTGCACCTCCAGGGGCACCTCTCACCTCTCCCGCGGCTCCGGGGGGACATGCTCGGCACATCCACAGCACTCTGGCCACAGCACGCCGCGAGGCCCCGGGGGCGGAGAGCCGCCCCGTGCCCGCTTCTGCTGCCCTTCCGCCCCCCCAGCCCCTCTGAGGTGTGCGGCTGAGGGGCCGCCCCTCTCGCCGCCCTGCCTGCCCGCCCCAGGCGGAGACCACGGTCTGGCGGCGCCACCCCCTCCTCGGACTCATCCTCCTCGAAAAGATGACCACCCCGCTCACCTTCGCCGCCGGCGCCGCCGTGGCCGTGCACGGACTGGCCTACTCGTGGCCGCTCCACTCCGTCCTCCTCTTTCTCGGATGGCGCGCCCGCCGCCACCGCGCCCTTTCGCGCTCCGTCAACACGCGTCGCCGCAGCCCCGTCGCCGCAGCCCCCCCCCTCCTCCTTTCGCAGGCTCCTCCTCTCGCGCGCAGTCCGGCTGCTCCCGCACTTCGCTCGCCGGCCGAGCCACCTCCTCTACTTGCCCGACGCCGTCCTCTTCGCGCCGCTCCTCTCCGCCCTCCGCGTCTACGCCCTCTGCACCCTCCGCACGGCCGCGTGGTACACGCGAGGGCACGGAGGGTGCGGCAGCTCGCTCCTCTACGCCTGCGACCACCTCGTCCTCCTCCTCCCCCTCGTCCTCTTCGCCCTCCTCGTCACCGCCCGCTACTTCGCCGTTGGCGCCGAGTGGCCGCTCCCGCCGCCGCCGCCGCCTCCGCCGACCTCGCCGCCCGCCCTGCTCGATCCGCCTCCCGCTGCCTCGCTGCCTGACTGGCTGCGCACCGCCGCCCCGTGGCTCCGAGGCGGAGAGCAGCAGGAGCAGTCTCTCGTGTGGGGCGTGGCGGCGCTCGCCCTGGCCCTGGCCTGCCTCTGCTCCCTGGGCGGCGTCGGCATGCGCGCCGCCCTCTTCAGCTGCTGGCGGACCTGCCGCGACAAGAGGACGAGGGGGCGGCGGGGCGGAGGCACGCAGCAGCGAGGCAGAGGCTCCTCGGGTGCGCGGGGCCGGGCACCACGTGCTCACCGCACACGCCCCCCTCCCCGCGCCGCCCATCCAGGCGCGGTGGAGCTCATCGACGAGCCTCACGCCCTCGCCACCGCGCCGCACGAGGACGAGTCTCCGTGGGACGTGCCGGGCCTCTCTCCGCCATCCTCGCGCGGACCCGACACGCCCGGCCAGGCGCCCGCTGCGTCGCCCGCCTCGAGGCTTGCCCCGTCGCACAGGGCGACGCGCGAGCGCGGCGGCGGGACATCCGCCACAGGAGGCGAGGAGATGGTCGCGCCGGAGGAGAAGGCGGTGCGCAACCTAGCGCTGCAGCAAGTCGTGCTCGACATGCAGGTACATTAATAATAATGAGAATAGTAATAGTCAACCTAGCGCTGCAGCAAGTCGTGCTCGACATGCAGGTACATTAATAATAATGAGAATAGTAATAGTCAACCTAGCGCTGCAGCAAGTCGTGCTCGACATGCAGGCTCGCACCACCTTGTGATTGCTCGTGTTACGCGCCACGGCCACAAAAGGTAGCCGCCCATACCCTGTACTCGACTCGCCCCCCCCCCCCCCCCCCTCCCTTGCACCTGCAGGACAGCCGCACCGCCCTCGGCGCCGAGCAGCCGCCGCGGTCGACGAAGCGCCGGAGCCTCCCGCCGAACGCGTCGCAGCGGTTCGGCTGGGGCCAAGTCTCGCGCACCGCTGGAAGGGTGGCCAATGCTGCAGACCTCGCCGCAAGGTGCGATGCTGGGGCGGGGAGACACGCTCGCACCTCGCTTCCCCTTCCCCCACGCGTCCATCACCCGCGCGCTTGAGCTCGCTCCCTGGCAAAGTGCAGGACCCGTGGCCCGCACACATCGCTCGCCCGTCGCCCCGCCAGGTTTACAGCGCGCCCCATGCTGAGCCTGCACCCCGAGCGGAGGGGAGCGGCGCCGCCGGCCGCCGCCGCCGGGCAGGAGGACGAGGACGATGTCTGGACGGCAGCCATCTCCCCCGCAGTCCGGAGGACCGCCGCCAGCAACCCCGACCGCGAAGCAATGCCCTCGCGCCCCGCGCCGCAGCCCATGCCGCCGAAGCGCAGCTACGAGTGGGGGGCGAGTGGGTAGACGAGAGGCGAGAGGGAGGGTCTGCCCGTCCGCGCAGCGGCCGGCGAAGGACGGATGGCATGCATGTGCAGTACACACGCTGAGTGCGTGTGCGCGCGAAGGTGTGTGCGTGGTGGTGGTGGGTGGGTGGGGGGGGGTCGGGATACGGGAAGCGAAGCAGAATGAAAATAAAAAGTCGCATGTCCTTTTTGTTTTTCATATGTGTCGACACCCTCGACGCGTGGTCGCAATTCTTATTTCTTTTCTTTCAAAGAAAGAAAGAAAAGATAGGAGGGTCAGGGGATGGGGTATGGGGATGGGACTTTTTGGGAGATGGGAGTTGGGAGGACGGCACGCCGCCACCACACACGACACCTCACAGGACACAGCGCACAGGCACTAGCCTAGCCTCTAGCCTAGCCTCTAGAGTGGATACAGGGATTTCACGGGAAAGGAAGGTGGTGTTGCTAGCCGTCGCCCACCCTTGGGCGTCTGCCTCTTCCTATCTCTCTTCGCAGTCCCTCGCCGATTCTGCAGCAACCTTCATGCCACCTCGCGTTCTTCCCACTCTCGGTATCTCTCGTCGTTATCTCTCACTCTCTCCTGCCGCTTCATCCTCTGTCTCGTCGCTCTCCTCGGCCTCGTTCTGCGACGCCGCCGCCGCCTGCCGAGCCTGCTCTCGCGGCTTCTCCCGCCTCTCGGCGCAAACTCCGCCCTCCTCGCGGCGTATTTGGCCCCTCGAGTTTATCAAGCTCTCCTAAAAGAAAGAAAAGAGGGACACCAGACAAACCAAACGAGGATGGGAGGAGGACAAGGTCTTGGCCTTTATACGCTTTTCTTCATAATCTATATTCTTTTTCGAGGCGATTTTTCAGCGATTTTTGTTGCGATTTTTAGCCGGAATATAAAGAATATTCGAGAAAAAATGCCCTATTTGGAGCCATATTCTTGCCATATTCGAGAATATAGACCCTATTTTGGACAAGAATAACAAATAAGAATACGGAAAGAATACGCAAAAAGAATGTAGAGAGCACTCGGCGAGAAAAGCGTATAAGGCCAAACAAGGTCCCCACCTGCACGAGGAGGATTTTGGAAGGACGATCAGGGACACAGGGGAACGGGAGTGGGGAGCGCATCGCGACACGGAGGGGGGCTGGGCAGGGGCTCCAAGCCTATAATTATTTTTTGCGCCCGACGCGGATCGGGTCTGTCGGGAGCGATGGCGACGACGGCGACGCTGCCATCAGGCGCCACAGTGGATCTACCCAGCCTCCCGGCGCCGCGTCCGCAGCGCAAGTGGCAGCCGCGGCTGGTGTGGGTCTCCTTGCATGCGGGCGGCATCGGCCTGCTGCTGCTCAGCGGCGGCTGGCCCTCGCAGACGAGCATCGCGGCGGTCTACTCTGCCGTCATCACGCTCACGGCGCTGCTGTACGCCGCGGCAAGTTTTCGTGACCCCGGGTACGCCGAGACCGCCGCGAAGACCGCGGCGCGCCTCGCGAGTCCGAGCGACGACTTCCAGGAGGCGCTCCTCGACCAGGCGTACTGCGTCCACTGCCACGCGGAGCTGCGCGCACGGACAAAGCACTGCCACGACTGCTGCCGCTGCGTGCGCCGCATGGACCACCACTGCTGGTGGCTGGGCAACTGCGTTGGCGAGCGGACGCACTGCATATTCGTGAGCTACCTCTTCCTGCAGACCGCGCTGCTCGTTGCGACGGGCGTCTTTGCGTCGCTGGCGGTGGGCGCGGCGGAGCGGCGGGAGCACCCGCACGCGCTGCCGCCGTGGGTGGAGGCGGGCGCGGCGGTGCTGTGCGCCGCCTTTTGCGGCCTCACCGGCCCTCGCCTCTTCCCTCACCGTCCGGCTGGCAGCGTGTGCCTCCGTCACGCCTCCCCTCCGCGAGCAGGCCTCGCCTCCATCACCCTCCTCGCCTTCCAGCTCGCGCTCGTGCTGCGCGGAGAGACGACATGGGAGTGCGCCGCCCTCGGCCACGCCCCACCGCTCCCCCTCCCCTCCCCCTCTCCCCCTCCCGCCTCCCAGACTCCCTCCCCCAGACTCGCCCGACAGTCCCATGCCGCCGCCGCGGCGCGCAGGCGGCTGAAGCGGCACCACCTCAACGCCGCCGCGCAGCTGCCCCCGGACGAGCGACCGTACGACCGCGGCCCGCGCCGCAACATTGCGATCTTTTGCGGCTGCGAGGCGGACCCGGGTGAGCGGGGCGAGGCAGCAGGCGAGCCGTCGCCCGAGAGGTGCCCTCACCCTCGTGTTGGTGCGGGGGCCATAGGCGTCCCAAAGTGGTGCGAGGGCAACCAGGGCAAGCTCGCCATCCGACCGGCGGCGGCGGCGGCGGCGGCACAGAAGCCGACAGACGGCTCCTACCGGCCGCCGCTGTGATTCGGCGGGCCTTGCCAGCCTCCTGCACAGACCGCGCTCTGCGTGCTCCCTTCCCCTTCAGCAACACTTTTCTCCTCTCATGTCTTGCACTCGTTTTTGCGCGTTTGCACCAGTGTGATCCCTGGGCGCCTCTGGGGACTGGTCTCACGCGTCTCTCGTCGTCTGTATCGTGTATATGACGACCCGCCCTCTCGATACGCATTGAAAATCTCGCGATTTTTCGCGTGTGTGTCTCAGACTCGGCACTCCCACTCGCAACGACGCGCAAAGTTTGTGCTTTCTGCTTTTTGTCAGTCTCGCGAGGGCTTATGTTTGCGCCGGTCGGTGCGTGGCTTCTTTCGATGGCATCTTCTGTGCGTGCTTTTTCCTTTTGCGTGCCTGTGAGGCCCTGCCACTCCCCAGGCTGCAGAGGCCAGAGCCACAGAGATCTCATGTATAGTATCTAGCATGGCACGCATCTGCAGACTCCTTTCTGGCTCGTACCTTCTAGCTTGGCTTACCGTGCAGGGCCAGGCTTTGGGGCCCAGAATCGCAGACACGGAGAGGCGGAGAGGCGAGCTCTCGTCTGCTCCTCCTCGCTTTCAGACGACGGTGATGTCGGCGCACGAGCTCCACACCTGGGAGGTGAGCTCACAGTCCCACCGCCAGCCAAGGACGTACTCGCCAGGGAGGAGGGAGGAGGGGACGGCCAGCGTGTCCTCGATGGCGAACGAGTGGAAGTCGGCTCCGCCGAGCGGGTCGGGGAAGAGGCGCGGGTCTGCGCTCGCCACCGAGGGAAGGCCGGGAAAGGCCTTTGCGCAGTTGGCCGGGCAAGCCGAGTCGGCGGCGTACCAGGGCGGGCCGCAGCCGGGGCAACGAGCGCTGCAGTGCTCGCCGGGAGGCACCTCGTAGTCGCACGGGTGCGGGTCGCGGTCCGGGAGAGGCATCCGCATCCACCCCTCCGCCGGGCCGCTGTCGACCTGCGTCGCGGGCAGCTCAACCACCCTGTCGGCGAAGAGCGCGCGGTGCGTGGTGGACGCAAAGGCGAGCGGCGTGCGCTGGAAGCACTCCTCCGTCAGCGGCTCGCCTCGCCTGCAGAGCCGGAAGCGGTACCTAGAGAAGGGAGGAGTGTTCGACAAGGCGCTGGGAGGGGCCGAAAGCGGCAGCACGCAAAAAAGCACCCGCCGCCGTGCTGCGCCGTCATCTGCCACCTCGCAGTGGCTGTGCCGCCGCGCCTCCAGACGGTCCCCGTCGGACGCGGCTTGAGCACCTCAGAGCCCAGGTCGCCCTGCATGGCGTGGACGGTGGCGTTGAAGGCGCCCGCGTTGAAGACCTCCTTGTCCGTCCCGCCCGCCTTGCCGCACGCGTCAAAGACGGGCGCCTTGCCGGGAGCCCTCCAGGGGTGGTAGCGCCAGATGTCGTCGTACGAGCCGGGCTTCGCGTGAAAGTTTGCCGTCCACCACTTCTTGTCGAGGTAGGTGCCGTCGGTGAACGCCTTGGGCTTCGCCGTGCCCGGGCAGTGATCCCACGAAGGGAAGCGCTGGCCTTGCCCGTCGCAGGCGGCACAGCCAATCGTGCAGCCCTGCGAGAACCAGAAGCAGGACTGCCCCGAGTTGCATTCGGCATCGGTGCCGTTGGTGCACCGGCAGTTGTACGGCTCGATCCAGCCAGTCATCGGGTGCTTTCCATGACTCCAAGGCGGGAGGTTGCTGTCAATGGCGTTGCGTGGGGGAGGGCTGATCATCGAGGCATGGCCGCGCACGGTGAAGACAGCAGAGGCGAGCAAGGCCGCGCGCAAGGGAGCGAGGGGTGCGACGGCCGGCGGCATGAGCAAAGTCGCTTGTCAAGCCTCACCCTGCGGGATTGGGAATCAGACACACACTTGCCGGCGTGGGTGCGCCGATGGGCTCGGGCTACTCGAGTTGAGACTAACTATCGGCGGGGACTCTCCAGAGAAAAGAAAGTTGGGTTGCCTGACCTTTCTGTTCCTCCGCTAGTGCCCGCCTCGCCCCGTTTCGCCCTCCGCGCCCCCTCGCGCCCCAGTCTCCGCCTTTGCTCTAGCAGGTGGCAGCAGCCCTGGCATCGTTTCCAGAGTATTTCCATTTTGTCACGCGCCAAGGAGCACTTGGTCTTGGAGTGCAGTCGGTAGGTAGGTAGGTAGAAAGGTGAAGAACAGCCAGGCTCGGACTGGACACCAACGCGGTATGGGTGGACGCAAGACAGATGATGACGACACGCACGAGCGACACACAGACACAAACGGTAACCTCACATCGCTCCGCCTTTTCTTTCCCAGCGGTACTACCCGGTAGCCGTCCCGCTTTCCAGTTAACAATGTCGCTGGCCCGAGTGCCTGTGGCGGGCGTGCTAACGATCGCCGCGCTCCTCGCCGCGGCGAGCGGCTCACCGCCACCGCCTCAAAGCAACGCGAGCGGCTTTGCTGAGCAGCGTAGAGCCTGGCTGCGCGGCGTCATAAACTCGTCCCTCCCGCATGCCGCCTGGCTCGCACGCAAAGTCTACAACACTTCGGGCAGCGGAGTCCAGCGCATGCGGCCGGCGGCCCAGAAGGGTGCACGCGTCTGCTTCGACTCGGCTGCCGGCGCTGCTGCTGTTGTGGGAAGCGCGGCGTCGCGTGCAGCAGCAAAGGCCTGCTGTCTCGCTGCCGCGCACAGCGTCAGAGGGTACCAGCGTCGCGAGGGGAGCCTCTCTGCGTGTAGGCGAGCCCAGCCATGACCGCGTGGGGTCGGCGGCAGGCGGCGGCCATCTCGGACGCCACAGAGGCGCGCCGGCAGAGGCTTTCCGCTTGGCTCACCGAGGCGGTGCGGCGGCGGAGGGAGCAGCTGCGGCGGTGGAGGCTGCAGGCGCGGGCGCTGCACCTCCCGGTCTCCCCTCCCTCCCTTCCTCACCTCTGCCCGCCGAGCAGGACCCCGCTGTCTCGCGCATGCTGCGGCTGCACTCCGCCGGCCGGTGGTACGAGCTGCTCGGTGTGCGCCGGACGGCAAACGCAAAGGCGCCCGCTCCTCGGGGTGGGGTTGGGGGAGGGGGGCGGGCCGGCGCCGACGTGAGCTGCCCGCTGCTCGCAGGCGCTGCGCGAGGGGTACCGCCGACTCGCGGTGCGCGTGCACCCCGACAAGACGCGCGGCCGGCGGGGCGGAGGCTCTCACACCCTCTCGCAGCCTTGCGTGAGGCGTCTCGGGCCCGTCCTAGGCGCGACCACCGGGCGGACAGGGCCTTCACGGCACTGCGCGAGACGTACAACCTGCTCTCCGACGCGGGCGAGCGGCGGAGGTACGACAGCAAGCTCGCTGCCGAGGCGGCGAAGCGGCGGAAGCGGCGGCAGGAGCAGCGAGCGCTGGCGTGGCGTGGCTGTCGCCGGCTGGGGCACGGCGTCGCGGTCTTCGCGGCACGCAACAAGCGTGTCTCTGTGGCGGTGTTGCTCGTGATCACGCTGCTTTTCCGCAGGCCGCCGGGCGCGGACCCGCCGTCCGAGATATGACTGCGAGACTTGGTTCCAGAGGACGAGCAAAGGATTACGATAGGATCGTCTAAAAACCTTCCGACCGACACCTCTCACATTTAACACACCCGACACTACATACGCGCACTGACTGTGTAGCAACGAAAACGTGTAGCAACGAAAACAAGGGAGAAGTGCAAGGAGGGAAGTGAAAGGTGGAAGAGCGGAATCCAGAAACAGACGTGGAGACGAATGGAAAGTCGCGCGGTCCGGGAGAAGCGGAAGGCGGAGCGTATTAACAGGGCGCGCCATACCAATCGTCCGTTTCGCTCGAAGGAAAAGGGAAGGCCACGCTCCACCGGCGGCACCTAGCGGCTAGCGGACCACCTGGTCCTGGACCTGCACCCGCCGCTTTTCCGCCGTCTGGGTAGTCTGCTGAGGACCCTGGGCCTGGCTGAGCCCCGGGCCGAAAAATAGAAAAATCCAGGGCCGGGGAGCTAGATCTAAGAAGCGCACCCAGAGCGGGCCGGATGATCGGCATCGGGTTGCTGACTAGACTAGGAGCACTTGGCGCTGGTGGCACTTTTTTCATCTCCGCTCAGGCTCGACGTCGCCGTCTCGTCGGAGGGTGGTACACGTGTCCAACGAAGAAAAATATGGCGCGCGTCCACCTCGTCTACGTCCTCCTCGTTTATCGCTCGGCGGCCGCGCCTGCTGCCGGCAAGTCCGAGTTCGCCCAGATGCAGGAGTGGTGGTGCGGGCAGTCCGGGCACGAAGCCGACGCCGCGTGCGTCTCCCTCCGGATGCGGGACGCCAGTCCCGAGGAGCGCAAGGCGCTGCGCGAGTCGCTCAAGGCGAACCGCTCCCACTGGAAGAAGGACCGCAAGCGGGACGACGGGGCGATGCTCGCGGCCTGGTGCGAGACGCACGGCGACTCGCAGCTGTGCCAGCGTTGGGAGAAGAGACGGAACCGGCTCGACCCGCCTTCGCCGCCGCCCAGCCCTGCCTTCGAGGCGGGCGCCGCGATGGACGTGTGGAGCCTCTTCCGCCAGCGGCGGAGCGCCGAGGGCTCGACCGAGCACGACCGGATGATGGCGTCCTTCTGCACATCGGAGCGGCAGGAGGAGTTGCTCTGCAGGCAGTGGCGCCTACGGTCGGACGAGAAGCTGCTTCCCGAGGAGCGGAACGACCTCAAGCAGCAGGAGCAGCGCCTGCGCCCCGCCGAACGGGCGGCGCTGCTGCGTGAGCAGAAGGAGGCCGTCCTCGACTTTTGGTGCAACAACCCGACCGTCGACCGCGAGGAGAAGGGCGTCTGCCTGCTGTGGAAGGTGCGGAGGGACAAGCAGCTCGCAGCCAAGGCGATGGGCGAGTCGTCGCCCGGCGCGCCGCGCCCGCCCAGCGCGCCGGCGACCTCCGACGGCGAGGAGCGGCGCCGCGGCGGCGAGGGCGCGCAGCACGGGCAGAAGGAGATGGAGGAGTGTCAGGAGTGGTACTGCACAAACAAGCTCACCGAGAGCGAGGCGGAGGAGAGCGAGGTGTGCAGCCGGTGGAAGCTGCGGCTCAAGAGCCTGAGCAAGGCGGAGCGGTCGCGCCTCCGCCGGCACGAGGAGAAGAAGCGCAACGAGATGCGCCGCGCGGCCAAGGCGGCGGGCGAGGCGCACCGGCGGAGAAAGGAGGAGGGGGCTGAGGGTCCCTCACCAGAGGAGCTCGAGCTCAAGCAGATGCGCGAGCAGCACGCGGCCGCGTGGGAGGCGATGCTGCGCGCGTGGTGCGAGGAGGGCGGCGGTGTGGGCAAGACGGACGAGCAGTCACCGCTCTGCGCAAAGTGGCGCGCAAAGAATGATAAGGAGCTGTGAGCTCGGCCCGGCACCAAGTTGCGGCTGCGGCGGCAGTTGCTGTGAGTTCTGGGAGCATTATATTTGGGGGTGTCTGTGCCAGAATTTTAAACTCGATGATCCTCTCCACGGTCCGCATCCGCGCGCGTCACTCATCTGCTCGGTGCCGCTTGTTGCCGAAACCGTCTGCCATCCCGCCGCCTGCGTCTGCCTCCACGTCGCTCTCGCCGCCCTCCGAATCGGACTCCCACGGCCGCTTCTGCCCCCCGCCGGCGGGGTCGCTGCGGCCTCCGCCCGCACGGCGCACCTCGGCGCTGGGCGCCAAGCTGGCGGTGACCTCCAGCGCCTCGCCGTCCCCGGCAGCGCCGTCGAGTGCCGCCACGTGCACCAAATCGCCGACGGCGAGGAGCTGGCTCAAGTCGGGACGCCGAGGAGCGTCGGCGAGGCCGCCGTCGAGGCGCACGTTGGCGGCGCGCAGCGAGGCGAGGCGCGGCGCGTCGCCGAGGGTTAGGAGGGTCGCTCGCCTGTGGGTGAGCTTGTGCACCCGCCCCCACACCCCCCCTCCCTCCCCCTCGCCTCCCGCCGCGCCGGCAACCGCCGCAGCCAGCGAGCCGCCGCCGGCGGCCTCACCGCCAAAGAGCGGCGCCGCAAGCAGCCTCCCCGCGGCGGGGGCGCCAAGCTGGGCCGTCTCGCCGGTCGCAAGAGCCGGCGAGGCAAAGGTGCCCAGCAGGCGCACCGCCACCTCCTCTCCAATCCGTGGCCAGACCCTCGGCGGTGGCGCCGCGAGCGCAGTCGCAGCCACCCCGGGTGGCGGCGGCGGGGGCCCAAACCACTCGGCGGGCGGGATGATGGCGCGGAGGATGTCGCTGGCGACGGACACCTCGACTCCGCGACGAGAGACGTCCGTCACGACAGAAGTCACGACAGAAGTGTGCGAGGCTCTGGAATCGGCAGCGAAAGGCGCGACGCCGGCGTCCTGCGCGCCCTTGCTCGCACTCGGCCCGGCCCAAGCGCACCAGTGGCGACGGGACGCTGCCGCGATGCAGTCTTGCACCGATTTGCCGCCGCCGCCGCCGCCGCCACCGAGGCTGCCGCCGCCGCCGCTGCCACCTCCGCTGCCGCAAGCCTGGGAGGGGTCGTTGCGGCGGCGACGCGCTGCGCGGGCGGCTCGCGCGTCTTCGAGCTGCGCCTGTGGAGGAAGCGAGGGGCTGACGGGCCGACAGACCTCTCTCAGCAGCATCTGAAGGCTGAAGCCCGCCTCGAGATGCAAGCGCGTGCCGAGGCGAAGCAGCAGCGGCGCAAGCCGGACCGCCTCTGCGACCGCCGCCTCCGCCTCCGCCTCGGCGGCCCCTCCGAGCTGTGAGCTCCCCTCCGGGTGCGAGTCGTCCGACGCGAGGGAGGGCGACTCGGGGCACCCCTCCTCTCGCTCCTCGCCCTCCTCAGCGGCCTGCTCGGCCGCATGCCCGAGCGCCGCCTCCGCCAGGCCGGGCAGGAACTTGCGCAGCAGCGCCTCGAAGGGCAGCGCCTCGCCTGACGAGTCCAGCCCGCTCCCTCCCTCACTACCCTCGGTCACTACCCGCCTCTCCCGCCGGTCCGAGACAGGACCCCTCACCTCGCGGGCGCGGCGGCGGAGGCAGCGGGCGGGGCGCGTGGATGACGTTTGGCGTCGCGGGCGGGGCGGCGGGCGAAGGCTGCTGGCGCATCGTGTGCCGCACGAGCTCGCCATAGGCTGCCTGCGTGTCGAGCAGAGGCGAGGGCGGCGGCGGCCTTTCGCCGCCGCCGCCCTCCGCGCCCGCGGCGACAGCGGCGAGGGACGCGGCCAGCCCCCGACCGCCGTGAACAATCTTGAGCGCGCGCGTGCTGCCGAGAAGCGGCGCCAGCTGCGGCAGCGCCTCTGGCGGGACGGTGAAGCAGCTGGGCGCCACGGGCGCGCTGCCGCCGCCGCAGCAGACGGCGAGCGCCAGAAGGTGCGGGGCGTGCCTGGGAGCGTGCACCGGGAGCAGAGCCACGGCCTCCGCCTCGGAGAGAGCCTTGGCCAGGTGGAGGAGCGCCTGCGCGCACGGGGCAACTGCTGCGTCGCCCGCCGGGCCGGGGCTCGCAAGGCGGGCCGAGGCGGGGCGGGGCGGGGTTCGCCTCGGTCGAGGCGGCAGCGATTGGCCGCTGCGCAGGCGGGAGAGGAGCGTTGACGGCGGCGGCGGCGATCGCCGCCGGGCCGAGCAGGCGCGCGTGCTCGTCGAGCCGCCAGTCGCTTGGCGTGCAGATGCGCGCGAGCAGCGGAGGGGAGGAGCAGTCGGAGAGGCCGATCAGCGCCTCGGCGGCGGCGAGGCGCATGGCGAGGAGCGCGGCCCGCGAGATGGCGGCGCCGAGGTCGCGGTCGAGCTCGGTGACGTCCTCTAGCATGAGGGCGCCGACTGCGAGTGCGAGAGAGCCTGGCTGAGACGAGTGGCGGGCAGCGCAGCCACGCGTGGGCGGCGCGGGGGCGAGGGCCGGGGGCGAGGGCGGCAGGGGGGGCGAGGGCAGCGGGGGCGAGGGCAGCGCGCCGTGCCAGCGGTGCCAGCCCTTGCGAGCCTTGGTCAGAGTCGGGTCGCGAAGCGAGACCACGCCCCGCTTGTAGGAGTGGCCGTGTGCGAGGTGCACCAAGCAGCGCCAAAAGAGCGACCCCGCTTGGGCCTCGCTGTCCGCCTCTGCCCCCGCCCCCGCCTCCGCCTCGGGATGCCGCGGCAGAGGCGTGCGCATGCAGGGCGAGGAAGGCGGCTCGCCGAGCCTACCAGGCAGAGGGAAGGGAAGGGCGGTACGGCCAAGGCTCGCGCCCCTCTCGGCTCGGACGGCGAGCGGCCCGCCCGGCAGACGTGAGCGCGTCGCCCAGAGAGGCGATGCCAGGGCTCGAGGCGCCAAGCGCCGCACCTTGCCCGAGCGAGCCGGCGGCGGCGGCGGCCCAAACGGCGGTGGAGAGGGATGCGTCTGCGAGGAGGGCTTCGAAAGCGGCGAGGTCTGGCGTGGCGGGCGGCGCCGCGCCGCGCTGCTGCGCCACGTGCGCCGCGAGCAGCAGCCACGCGTAGGACGACGGCACCTGTTCACAGCTAGAGGTGTGAAGAGACGCTGTTCACCGCTAGAGCAGCCGCTCGCAGGGCGACGGCACGCGCGGCCCGCCGCACAGCCCCTTGGAGCGGGCCCAGCTGCGCAGCGCGGCGGCCGCGGGGCGGAGGTGCGGCACCCTGGCGAGGAGCTGCGCGAGGACGTGCGTGTTCGCGAGGCCGGCCACGTTGTTGAGCGTGAGGTCGACGCGCCGCGCGCCACCCCGCAGCTGCAGCGAGAAGGCAAGGCTCGGCGTGCGGGCGGCGGGCGCGGCGCGGAGGTCGCTCACGGCGCCGCAGCGGCGCAAGGCGGCGGCGGCGCGCCTCAGCGGCGCGGCGAGGGCGGCGCGGCCCTGCTTGCTCAGCGGCGTGGGCAGGCCCGGCAGCAGAGCGCACAAGTCGACGTCCGAGCCGGAGGCGCCAAGGCCGAGCGCGCCGCTCCCGTACGGCTGCACCTCTGCGCGCGGCCACGCGGAGCGCAAGGCGGCCTGGATCGCCTCTGCCGCCTCCGCCGCCGCGGCGGCCAGAGCAGGCGCGCCGTGCAGCAGCGAGGCGGCCTCTCGCCCGAGGGCTACCTCCGCGGCGGCGGCGGGATGCGGCAGCAGCGAGAGCGAGCCGAGGTACTGCGCGGCGACACCAGCGGCCCGGCGAGAGGAGACCATCTCACGCAGCGCGAGCAGCTGCAACCGCGGCTCGCCGCCGAGGATCTCAGCGCCCTCGGCGACCTCCCCCCTCTCGAAGCAGCGGAGGGCGAGCTCGTGCACGCCGCCAAAGGAGTAGCCGCCCGCCGAGCCGCCGCCGGCCCCGCCGGCCTCGCTCGAGCAACTCGCGCCACTCACGCCCACGCCGCGCACGATGGCAGCCGCGTCGCGGTAGCGATGGGCCGCTGCCGCCTCCTCCACGGCGGGCGCGAGGCTCGCCGCGCCGAGCACATCGGCGAGCCGGCGTGCTGTGTGCGTGAGCAGCCGCTCTCGCCCGCTCCCCGCCAGCGCGCGGAGCAGCTCGAGCGCAAGCACGGTGGACTCGCAGCCAAGAGCCGCCGCAGCATCCCACTGCTCCGAGGCGACGAGCGAGCGCAAAGCCGTGCGGCGCCGCTCGAGTGGCGCTCCGCCAGCCGCGTCGTCTGCGGCCGAAGCCAGCCTCGCCTCGCGCCGTGCCTCGCGCTCCGCCTTGCTGAGACGGGCGCCGCGCGACTTTTTCTTGCGGGCTGCGGGCTCCGCCGCGTGTGGAGGAGGGTCGTCTTGCATGTGTGTCTGTCGTGTCCTCCCGGCGCGCCTCCCGGCGCGCGGAACGTAGGCAGCCAGCACTTCCTCCACACCCCAGTGCCCAAATCCACACTTTTCAATGTACGTACTTTTAGCTTACTGGGAGAAAAGAGAGAGGGGGTTGTGTTCTCTAGGCCCCTAGGGGCCCTACGCGCGGCGTGAGAGCTCGGAAGCGAGCTTAGCACGGCGATCGAGGATGGCACGGTTCACCCCCTTCACCGAAGCGATGGAGATGCGTTCCGCGTGGTGTGACACAAATGAGAGGCGGGAGTGGGGAGGGTACGCGGTGCGGTCAACGCCCGAGCGTTGAGCCTTGCGCGCAAGGCGGTTGATCTTTGCAACTGCAGGCGGCGAGAAGCCGCCGCCGAATGTCTCGTGGAGAAGCAGGTTGAACTTGTTTCGTTTGCCGAAGATCTCTCTCTCAATGTATGTGGCTCTTACGTACATTCCCTCTTTTTGTCCGCGGCGGAAACACTCTGCAGAAATCGAAGAGGGGGTGCTCCTATGGCTAAGGGGCACCACCGACCCGTCTTGGTCCCGCGAAACAAAACTTTTTGCCGGACCCGGGATCACCTGGCCGTGAATAGCAATAGGGAAAAACAAACTCTCTGAATAGGGTGCCCACAGGACCCAAAAGAAAATAGCTTTCCGCCTCAAATGCAAGGCAAATCTGATGTTGGCC